ATAAGTGTTCATTTAGTGTATCTAGTTTTGAATGCCTTGGATACCTAGTTGATGGTAATGGTTTTAGACCAGATATGAAACGAGTAGCTCCACTGACAAATGCACCGTCTCCAAAAAACATCACAGAATTACGTTCACTAGTGGGTGCTCTTCAGTACTATTCTCGTTTTATTCCTAATTTTTCTTGTCGTGCCAATTGTTTATTTAATATTTTGACATCCAATTCATTCAAATGGGGTGAAGAACAAGAGTCATGCCTATGAAGTCTGCTAAAGTTTCTTCAAAGTGATGCTGTCCTTCGAACTTACTCACCCAGTGTACATTCTGTTCTTATTACTGATGCGTCACCTGTAGGTATTGGTGCAGTTTTGGAACAGGAAGGTAGGCCAGTTATATGTGTTTCACGCAAACTTTCTGTTGCTGAACAAGGTTATTCACAAACGCAGCGAGAAGCGTTAGCTGTGTTTTGGGCTGTTAAAAGACTTCATAAATATTTATTTGGAAAGAAGTTTACCATTGTTACTGATCATGAAGCCTTAAAGTTCATTTATCATCCTGACAAATCCTTAGCACGTTCCTCAGCTGCTATGGTTCAACGATGGAGTATTGCTTTGAGTGCTTATGACTATACGATTCAGCACAGGAGTGCAAAACAAATTCAACACGTTGATTACATTTCTCGACAACCATTACAAGATAGACCTGTTAATACTTCAGACTGCTTGTTAGTGCAACCTTTACCGGTGAGACGTCCAGATCTCATTAGAGAAACTCGTAGATACTTTGGATGTATACTCAGTGCTATACGGAAGGGTTGGAATGCTAATCTGAAACGTAGATTTCCTGTCTATTATTCAAAGCGGGACGAGTTATCTACTACTCCTGACGGTATTTTGTGTTTAAATGATCGTGTTGTTATTCCTCCTTCATTACGCAAACCTGTCCTTGATGATCTTTATAGTGGACATCTTGGTGTTGAGAAAATGAAGTCCTTAGCAAGACTCACATGTTGGTGGCCAGAGATAAATGCAGATATATGTCGTACAGCAAATAATTGTGAGAAATGTCATAAGCTAAAAAGTCTGCCTTCGAAGTGGACTCCATGGCCAGTATCGTCTGAGGCCTGGCAGAGAATTCATGCAGACTACTGTGGTCCATTTCTTGGCAAATACTATGCACTTGTAATTATTGATTCTTTTTCTAAGTGGCCTGAAGTTTTTTTCACAACTTCACCGAATTCTGACTTCACAATTCAAGCATTAAGGAAGGTGTTTAGTCGAGAAGGAGTTCCCATGGTGTTGGTGACTGATAATGGCTCTCATTTTGCTGCAGATGCAGTCACTAATTGGTTAAATGGTATAGGGTGCAGACATCTGTTTACGGCTCCCAGGCACCCTTGTTCCAATGGTCAGGCAGAAAATTTCGTAAGAACATTGAAAATTGCTATTGATTCTATTGCTGCTTCGACATTCAATGAACTGGAGAGGGGAGTAGATACATTTCTACTTCAATATAGAAATGCTAAGCATTCTGTGAGGAAAGAGACTCCATCAAAGCTATTAAAAGGAAGAATTCTCCGTTCGAATATGAGGTGTTTGGAGTCTGCAGAAGTTACGTATTATCGTGGTAATGATCTTCGACCAGCCACGGGGATCGTGGTGAAGAATGTTGGAAAATCTATGGTGCGAATTCTGGATATCAATGACTTGACCATACATAACCGACACGTTGATCAAATACAATACCAGAATCCAGATAATACAGAGTCTACATCCAATACACCGTCGGACAGATGTAAGATGAACTTAAGAAGAGGACGAACAATCGATTACAGACACTTACACTCCAATTCGAGCTGTGGCGGATGTGATGTTTAAATAAATCAATGACTTCTTCGTATTGATGACTGTTGTAATTTTGAATTCCAAATACAATACATTCGTTCGGGCTCATCTGATACTTCTTGATTAAATTGCGTTATTCCTGGAATTACTAGTTCATACTACAATTCAAATACTTCTAATTATCATAAACAGGTAATTAATGTAAGCCGTATTTTAAGTGCATGCATAATAATTCGTATTCATGGCTTGATGATAAAACGAGAGGAATGGAGGGAAAATAGAATAAAGGTAAATGCATTTTGAAGCTTGAATACAAGCTCAATATGACTTCATACCTATCGAATTGACCAAAAGTTTTATCATTATTCAATTAACAAACAGACTTCAAATCTCTAGGCCGTATTTACTGGTTATTTTTTATGCTCAAGCTATCGTTGACGGAAGTTTCAATTCACACTTAGAACTAAAAATGAAACTACTGAATTTGGCCAACAAGCGCAGAGATCAGAAATCAAGAATCAGTCAGTGAATTATGAAGATTTTAAAAAAATACACAGTTAACCAAGCCAAATCATAATCAGTACATGAATAATCAAACTTGTCAATAGCTAGTAAGTTTGCAGCAGTCACGATGTGTAGCTTACTTACATCCTCATCAACAGATCTGACAAAATGGTACACGTTTCTAGGAGTGTTTATCCTCCATTACCACCTCTGTTTAATGGTTCAATGTAATTAGCTTATACTATTTACCAAGATAGCTAACCCTAAATACTAAAGATAATGCCAGCTAGTATTTACTTTATTGGCAGCTTCGTAGAGGATACTATTTATTAAGAACCTTTGGATTAACAAGAAACAGCTTTTGTAGGATCCTACACTGAACCTGACTTTTGATGTAGAAGCGAAATCATACATAATCTCTACTCATATTTCAGATCACGTCTCAGTCTAAACTTAGTAAAAACTAGTTCGTTTTCTACTTGTTCAAAGTGAACTCGCGAATAAATTATGTGGTCTTTGACACAATAAATAATTTAAACCCGTAGATTAGTTGATGTCAAGTGAAGACAACTGGGTAGCGTAGAGGATGGTAGTTTCTTCTCGTTTTGGATGATTTATCAGTAACGAGCATCTATGAACCCGAATGGAATTGGACTAAAGACCTTCAGATATCGTGGAAAACATGGTACCCTTATAGTATTTAATCAGAATGTGTATTTGTCAATAGGTAAATTACACATTAAGATAAAAATGAAACGATATTTGGTAAATTTGACTACAGAGCTGGTCACTGTTAAACTTACAATCAATCCATACTTTCAACTGTGACCCGAAAATACCTGTAACTGTAAAACTGTAAAACCAACTCGCGTAAGTAGTGATGTCACAGATGACATCATGACTATAGAACCGCTTGAGTTCCAAGAACGACTTGACAGATTTAAGATCTATTTGTCAATAAAGCATCCAGTATGTATTTCCTTTTTATATCGTCCTAAAAATGGACAGCAATGATTATTGTGTAACTGGTGATTATTAACGTCGAAAAGAGGGAATCCTACTTGATCATTAATTGCTGCCACACACATGCGACCCCATAGATCCCTTAAAACGTACTAGTATAGTCTCACAAATCGACTTGCTTAAGGCGTATTGTAGAAATATAGTTTATTTTGGCATAAGTACATTGGTATCATTATAAATATAAATGTACATCATTACCTAAACAAATAATACCACCTAGTTATTCAACCAATCATTGTTCAATCAGTATTAATTCAAGCTCACGGAATAGATGTTATTCTATCCTTTCTCGATAGATTACGTACAGATCCGTTCTAAAGATAATATTTGGTTGCCTTATAACACAGTGTTTCCACTTTTAGAAGAGTGTTTCAATTCGCAATCAAAAATACACAATTCCAGTCAGTGAAAGCAACACGATTAAATGGGGGAGAAAATCAATATGGCTGCAGCCAAGACTAAGCATCAACTAAAGCAATATAAATGCAGTTCAAAAAGAAACATGGAAACTCAGTGAAGGCGTAAGGGGAATAAAAACTATAATAAAATTCAAATAATACCATATCAAATGGGATCGAAAATACTAATAAAGTGTACAACTGAGGAAATCAATAGCAATAAACTACAGGTGTATACATGGAGGGATTTTCACACACAAAACCTTAAAAATGGACCTAACAGATTATGTAGTTGCATCATGACATATCTACAGTTTTGGGATTGGATCTATTGTTATAGTAAAAAAGGTAAATGCACTAATGATGAGCTAGACTATTAATCTCAAAACTTGTATCCATTTCCACTTTTGGATTGCTTCAACTAAGATTTGGAGTTGATGTAAGAACTGTGACTGTTGCAAACACTTATGGATTCTTTGACCGTCTGACAATGATGTACAGTTCATTACCTCACGTCTTAAAATGGTGTATGCTTGTTACGTTGGAGGATTTAAAATTAAGCTACATTGTTTGGGAACTGAGATAGGGAGTACAGAGCTTGGTGGCGAATACCCTCATATTTCATGTCATTTATCGTGAAATAATGCTTTAGTTGATCAAGTCATAATTCAAAGTGAGTGTGATAGAAATTTGGGAGTCGGAGTGTTGCAGTCATAGCGCTGTCTATCTCTAACAGTTACAAAATGTACTTATCCCTAAGGCTTCCACAATGTATTGAATCTGTCACTGTTTTTCATAATAAATGTTGTTTCTGGAAGTGTTCACAATCAAAATCCACTCATATCAGAAGATCCATAACAATACAGCACCTCCTCTCCATAAAAAGGATACGAATCTCTTGGAACAAACATAGAAGAGTTCTATGAAGTGAGTAGTTGGACTAAGGAACAAACAATAACTGGCCGATTTCTGATCACCTCGTTCTCTGATACTTTTCGCTATTTGTTGTCTTAAAATATTTTTATGTTAACATTATGTGTTTAAACTGTTTGCTTACTGATTTCGATATTCATCTCTTCTAATATGTCCAATATCTTTGTGACGAGCGTGTACAAAATGATTGATTTTTCTGCATCCACTCCTTATTGTTTTGCGCCTCTACATCTTAAATTCTAATTTCATGAAATTTCATATCGCATAGAATTAACTTCCTCATCTGTAATATGGTAGCTGCTGATCCTAACTACCGAAGGGCTTTAACAGTGAAAAGGAAACCAATCGATTTGTGGAAGTTTGCTTAGCGGGCATTGAACGTTGGACAATGCGGTTACCTTCAATTTGTCGCTACTACGTCGACTTGTTTCGGACGGCGTGTATATATTTCAAGTAAGAATGTCTGAGTTTTCTCTGGTGAACGGATTCTACACTATCGTTTACTTTATCAAGCTATAAAAACGTGTTTTTATACAACTGCTCAGAGGTCTAGTTTGAATTCACATTTGATTGTTAGCACAGTTACATGTTAACGTATTTACTCCATAACTAATATTAACCTGGAGAGTTGCTTGAGTTAGACATATTTTGAAAAAAGCATGTACTGGATATTGTCCAAGTCGCGAAGTCCTTGAGAATGACTTTCCCGGGTTTAAGCTCTGAATTCCTAAACAAATTTATTCATAAAAGCACCGTTTAATAAACAGTAGTCAATACTCCCCTAATGTAGAGTAAAATTCATATTCATCTCTCCATGGTGTTCTTCACAGAGAACCGTTGTTTTCGCTTCCATAAGCATACTTTTTTAATATAGTAAAAGCTTAAAATTTCCTTCATATCAACCTGGTGGCCCGGCATCGGTCCGAAGTGCACAGATGCATCTGTTGTTTGTTTTCATCTAGCTAGTGAGATGGAATATTCATTTATTTATTTCTTTTCTTGTCAATCACATTATTTGCGCCGTCTTGATATAATCAACACCAGTATTTAGGCTTCTTTATTCGTGTCGATTTCATCCCCTGACATTGTAGTTTGGGAACGGGCTGGTAAATATTGATTTCAGGCTTTGTGTTGATTTGTTTCAAACCTAATTATTTCCAAGTAGTACTTTATCCTCATATGTAAAATTTAGCAAGCCGTTCTTCAAATTCTAAGAAAGTACTTATCGGTTTGTTCGTCATATTAACATTTGAAGTATTCTCCTCGTTTGAGTATAAACATTCATCATTTTGTCATTGCAGTCTTGTTTATTATCCAACTACATGTTTCAGTGTCACCACCAAATCACCGGATACAACAATAAAGAGCTTATCAATTGCCAATTTATCAAGGCTTGAAAGGTGTCAGCTAAATGGGTTCACTCTTTTCAAGACGCAAAAATCGGTCCAGAATAACGGAACAAGACAAAGCCATTTTAAGGTTGAAGAGGCAACGTGACAAACTCAATCAGATATCCAATAAGCTAGATAACCAAATAGAAAATGAAAAAGTTCTTGCCAAGGAACTTATTAGGCAAGGTAAAAAGGAGTGAGTTTCTTCGTTTAACCCTTGTGATGACATTAGAACAGGTATCTGAGTCATTATTAATAATTCTTGATGTTACTTGCATATCTGAGGGGTTTGGATTTCTGCCAATAGTCAGTTCTAATTCGTATTTTCTTTCCCAGGCGGGCTCTGCTGCTGCTGAAAAAGAAGAGATATCTTGAAAACCTCATACATAAAACTGGTATTCAACTATCAAACATCGAACAACTTGTCAATGACATCGAATTTGCTCAAATAGAAGTGGATGTTTTAGATGGGTTAAAGTGCGGGAATAAGGCTCTTCAGGATATCCGAAAGGTAATGTCGTTAGATGATGCCGAACGGATTATGTCAGAAGCTCATGATGCTGTGGAATATCAACGTGTAAGCTCGCATAAATCAACAAACATTTATGTGGTTGTTTTGTTTCAATATCAGGCCGTTGTGTGAAGTGTTTATGTTGTTACGTCTAGGTACTCAGGATGTTTGTCATAAATAAGTGTGTAGTCTACTGTATACATTTCCAATATGTGATTCAAGAAATCAATATCGACTGTGAGTAACATTTCTTTTGAAGGATCTTGGATTGTTAGTGGTTTTACTTTACTGCTAAGGTACTACAGAAGAATTACAACAGATCTTGAGAACTTGCGAAGTTGGGACTTCCTTTGTAGAAAGCTAAGAGATGCTTTAGTTAAAATAAGTGATAAGATCCCGTTTACACCTACACAAAGTGATCGTGATGCATTCTTCATTGGAGAGTCTTGCCCATGAGATCTCGACTTGTGCTAATGAACACGTAAGTTAGACAAAAAGACCTTTTATTAATTCTGTAGAATTGAAAAATTCACAAGTGAAATCAGCGATAGAATAGAACGCCTGGCTATTCATCCAACCTAGACTGTTAATCCAAACAACCAGATGTGACCTTCCCCCACAGTCTACACACACACACACTCAATATTAACCCCACCACTTTATATTACATGTGAATAGATTCCCCATATCCACCTTGTTACGCACAACTTACTAGAGTAATATGTTATATAGAATCAACCTGACCAAAATAACTTGACGTTTCCACCTTCAGACCTATTATGATTTTGACTATACTAAAAATATTCTGCGTTGTTCGCTTTGTACTATTTGAACTTGCGTGACTTTCATTTATTTGCTCTGAAGAAGCGGCTTACATTAAAGCACGAAACATTGGAAATACGATTTTCAACTTATTGGAGTATCACAAAAATATATTTGTTGTTAGTATCAATACATGTTAACTATTTTATAATTTCTGTCTTAATATGATTCACACTATGAATTATGTATTTAACCAGGAAATATTGTACTGTTGCTTCTTTCAGTGTGCGTGACTATTAACTGTTTAGTTTTAACCGCTTTCTCATAACTGTCAAAACTATTATAATATGGCGCGGTTCATTTACCGAATGTAGGATTATGCACTAAACTTTAAGTCAATATTTTAATATGGGGCCTAATTATGCTACCAGACTGCCTGAAACTGTGGTAGATGCAATTAAATTGGGACTTATGACCTATTAGTTGGAAGTCGAGTAATTCAATCACCAGATCACCTGAATAAAATAATAACTGATTGTAAACAGATCAAGAAATGACACTATTTTGGAAGTCACTTCAAATGACATATTCTTTTCTTTTTTAGGAGTTAGATGATATCGTTTCTGGCGGTCTGTCCTCTAATGATTACCACGAGATTGAGTGTGAATTAACTCGTCTCATAGAACCTGAAGTTATCGATCTCCCACGTGTGCCTGATCATCCCATAGATCAGTTTGATGAAAAAAAATCGAAAGGTAAGTCACAAAATCTATCTATGTCTCCTATTATTTATGTCTGGTTACTGTAAGCTAATACTGATGCACACAGAAAGGTAGTGTTTTGTGCTCGAAAAGGTTAAATATTGGACAAAACTGGTTAGGATAATGTCATCCGTACAATGGGTAGAGATTAATGATCTCACTCAGTCTTTCATAATACATACAAGTGAGCTCCATTATATATCATGTATAGTCGGTTTACAATTCTCATAACTGTATGGATCAATAGCAAAAAACAATATGTTATAATTGTGTTTTTTGCTATATAAACGACTCAGCTATTCCTATTGCTTAGTATTCTTATACGATGACACTCGACAAGACCCCGAAATCAGAACATGTTGAACAGGAATGAAATTGTATTCAAAATAACAATAATAAGTGAACAGCAATCAATAGTTTAAATAACGTTCATATGTCTATAGTATATACATAAGAAGCTTATAGATTTTTCTGCAATAATATGCCCGGGATGATCGGTTTAGAATTAACCAATCAGCGCGCAGCAACACCATCATGCATAAAACATGCTTAATTCAATCTATATCCCACTAACACCTCCCCCTTCAGCAGATTCGTAGGATCTGGTGTTAGCGTCCAACTGCAACCGCTTTACTGGTTTGTGCTTCCGGTTAGTCCACTTTCCAGGTAATAAGGACGTTGTATCATTCTTCGTTTACACCTTGACTGTCCTGTTTGTTTCAGGTGTTTTGATCTCAAAGGTGTCTAGCAGAACATCAAGAGGTACTATATGCTGCGTTTCGTTGTTGGAAATCGAGGTTGATTTCAGTTGGTTGTCATGACGTACCCAGATTTCTGAACCAACGGACACCTCGTAAACCACATTTTCTATCTTTTGCACGATCCAACCAGCTATCCATGTAGGATGTTTTCCTCGATAGTCCATAGCAAGTACCTTTTGACCCACACTGAACAATCGTTTTTGTGCCCCATGATGACTATTGTACTGTTTCCCCATCATCAGGTTTCGTTGCGGCTTAAGAGCTGGAGTCGGACGAATGCTGTCAAAATGTGTACGTATTTTTCTGCCAAGTAACGCTTCCGCTGGGGAGACTCTATTTGTTGTCTGAGGGTGTATAAACAAGGACCTCTCTAAGATCTCTTCGGTGTCCCCCTCCCCTCTTGATTTTTTTAGAGCATTTTTGAACGTACCAACAAAACGTTCTACCTGGCCATTCGGTTGCGGATGGAATGGAGGTGTTCTGATGTGCCTGATTCCGTTCTGCTGACAAGTAGATCAAGGTTTGGTCGTTCTGTTAGATAGCATACTCCTTTACAGCTATTTCCATTGAAGGAAAATTCACATTGTAATTCACCAACTAGTTTCAGTACACCTCCAAATACGTTTTTAGCCGTTTTCTTGGATGGCTTCATTGGCGGTTTCCCAAGCAGGTTAAACGTTTCTCTAGACACTAGGGTGATATCGGATGCTGTGTCAATTTGGAGACGAACCGCTATACCATTAATCTGGAACGTAACATACTTTCTCCGAATGTCATAGTCTGTTTGAAAGGCTGCTACCAGAGAAAGTGATTTAGATTCGGCTGACTTTATGTGTCGAGGACATTTGTGCTTCTGCTTAGGCTGGGACGTACGATTTGGAGGACAATGACCTTCTTTATGCCCACGTTTGTTACACATCTGACATTTATGTTTTTTGAATGGGCAGAATCGTACATAATGCCAATCACCACATAACCAACATGCAGTCGTTGGTTTGCTACCACTTGTTTTCGATTTCTGAACTTTTAACTTAGTAATAGCATTGACACTACTGAAGGTTAAATAAAAATTTACCTGTTCAATTAACTGATTGTCGTGTCTGATGTTTTGTAGTCGTTTACACTCATCTGTCAATGTTTTGAGTGTGACGTTTGGGTCTTGATCCAAACCAGTTAGAAGTCTGGTTCTAATTTCAGCATCTTGTAGTGACTGCAGAGCTTTGATGAATACGAGGCATTTAAATTGATCTTCTGTCAACGAGCGTAACTTGAACCGTTCACACTCTCTGTTGACGACGTCTGCTAGAGCACCATATTCGTCGGCTTCTCGTTTCACTAAATTCAGACACTGATATCAAATACTAAACAATGAGGAAGATTCGCCAAATATCTCTGACAACTGCGTTACTGTCTCCTCGAAACTGAGCTCTCGAGGTAACTTTGGCAAAATATGATCAGCATAACGTGCATGTTCATTTCTTCCCAACTTACGCATCAACAACCGAGTCTTCCATGCGTCATCTTGTTGACAGAATTCTATTCTAAATGTATCTTCCCAACGCTTGAACCACGTGAGAAAAGTATTTCCACTTTTGGGATCATAGGTGAATTCTGGGATGCTGCTAGCAACTGCATCACAAGAAGTACCTGAAACAGCATGTGAACTCGAGTTTTGGATGCTAAACTCTTGCATCATAGTCTCCAACAACCGCATTGGTGCATCAAGTTGTGCTTGCTGTTGTTGTAGTATTCGGCTGAGCTGGTCATCTGATATATGCATTTTGAATGAATTTTCCTTTTTCCTCGTCGCCACTGTTGTAATTGTGTTTTTTGCTATATAAACGACTCAGCTATTCCTATTGCTTAGTATTCTTATACGATGACACTCGACAAGACCCCGAAATCAGAACATGTTGAACAGGAATGAAATTGTATTCAAAATAACAATAATAAGTGAACAGCAATCAATAGTTTAAATAACGTTCATATGTCTATAGTATATACATAAGAAGCTTATAGATTTTTCTGCAATAATATGCCCGGGATGATCGGTTTAGAATTAACCAATCAGCGCGCAGCAACACCATCATGCATAAAACATGCTTAATTCAATCTATATCCCACTAACACAATAGTACGTCCAGAATTTGAATACATATGCGTTTCAAACACTGTCCTCCTTACCTTTAGTCATCTGGGTTCGTGGGTAATCATGATAGTGTTGGGATAATCCAATTGGGATAATAGAGTATAATATGTAGCTTGTCTTCTAATGATTGCTTGATAGTTACATAATATATTCGTGTGGTGTTGTACACAACTCTTATTACAGTTGTGTCAGCAGGGCAGTGTTTCGATTAATGTATTTTGGAGGCAAGATCCATTTTCACCCGACCAATGCTAGTAGGTAAAGTGCGAAGACATCAGAAAGTTCTTGTATAATGTTTAGATAAGCCGTAATATCGTTAATATACTGACTTCGACTGTTCGCTTTTTGGAAAGTATTTTTTCTTTCTTCCAATTCTTGCTTTGATTTGGGACCAGTCGAATAAAGTTGTGTTCAAGAAATACTGAAGATTAGAAGATATATTAAGTTGTATTTTTTCGTTATGTATAGGAAACCGTTCTCGTATTCGCATCATCTCCTTTTTGAGTCTGTATTCAGCTTACCTTTTTCTAAAAATATATTTGTTTAATTTTTTTGACGCAATTTTAAAAGTGTACTGTTTTAACGGACGCTGTTTTTTGCATCTGCTATCTTTACCTGCTCCAGTCATTTTTACTGTCAGACTTGTCTTAAAGGAATTGGAAATAGGTCACAGTGCGTACTGTTTATTATTATTATAATTTCTCTTATTATAACCCAGCTATTCCTATTGCTTTGTATTCTTAGACAATAATTCACTCGAAAAGTCCCCAAATCAAAACAAGGTTGAACAGGAACGAAATTGTATTCCAAATAACAAGGGTAGATTGAAGTAGGAATTACAATAAGAAAAACGTTAGTATATTCATAGTTTTTACATGAGAAGATTCTAGAGTCTTCCCCAAGCATCTATTGGTGCTGATTGGTTAAGAAATAACCAATTAGCGTGCCCCAACATAATCTTACACGGAAGGTGCTTTAATCCAATCCATATTCCACTAACATAGGTCTTATTTATTACGGTCATAAGATGTTAATTCTTGTTTTTATATGGTTATAAAAGACATTTGCAGTGTAAAAGTAAACTAGGTTTATGGTTTACATGTACTGGTGCGGCCGAGAGTGATGAGAGTCGGCTCGTCCTCTCGGAATGCTCTCACATGGCCACACGAATATATAACCTCTGTCAGGGAAGTCCTACTCACTGTGTTATCGTAGCGGGGGTGTTGTTTACGAAATTGAAAGGACGAAAAGCGAATGTCCGGCGCTTTAACCGGGTTGGTGGACATGGAAAGTTCACCTAGGGGAGTTGGAAAAACGTGATTCCAAACCAATGGTGCACATGCGCTAGCTCTATGATCCTGAGGGAACAAATGGCGTGTGAATCAATCGTTGGTCACCGGCTACCATGGGACTGCATATCCTTACGATGCTTCACTGCCTTGTGGATCAGACTTTTTGGTCGACGGCTCCGGGTGTGGTCCCCTAAGAAAACCACCTGCTTCCGTTTGGGCACCTGAGCAGTATCACAACCCTCACACAAATCAAATGAGATTTGCGTGGCGCATATATATCTGGTGCCCCTTCGTACCAATATTTTTGTGTTTAAATAAATAAATAAAACTAAAAGTATACGATACAATATATTGCATATTGTATGGTTGGTGACCGATTTTTCATAGGGCAGTTGTTTACTTGGATAGATCACTAAGTGGTGTAAGACATTCTCATTCTGTCCTATCAGGCCTCAATTTTCTCTATCTTACGGTTTGTTTGGTATCCTGTTAGTTTTTTACATTTTACTATTAGTTTGCTAAAATTTTGTTGTACATTATTATTATTATTATTAGCTTTATTCAATACTACATTTTTGGTACAATATAGAATTCTCTGCGCGATGTATTTCAACAAGTTTCCGTTTCTTGCTTCTTGGTCGATCTTGACGATAAATATTGAGTGATCGCCAGTTAGAAGTTATCAGTCCACTCAATTGACATCTAAATAACGTACATTCTTTTCAATGCATATTGCCAGCGACCACGATATTTCAGATTGGGCCTTTTGCAACTTGTGCAACGAAAGGTTGTTCACTTTTCAGAAACGCACCTGAATAGGTTGTGCGTTTAATAGCCATAATGATATATTAAAACAAACAAAATTAGATTACTTATTGAAATATCTAGATGACAGGAACAGGTAGCCCAGATGTTCAAGCAGGCCGTCATGTTTGTGTATCCAGATTTTTTCCATGACAGTTATATTATCCTGCTATACAAACAAAAGTTAACAGTGTGGTTTTAGCCTGTAACCTTATGATTTAAAATGAAGTAGTTTTGACTACCACGACACATTGATCTACTACCATTTTCTGGCTTCCAGCCAGTTAGTTTACAGACATGTATCTTGGACATGTGTCTTGGACACCCAGTAAACGATACACTTCATTTCTGTTTTCGACTAAAGCAGCATCAAATAAAACTTATCTGTCTTCTGGTAATTTAAAACATTGATAGTATATTTTGTCAGCTTGTAAACATAACAGTTGGTGACGTGCACTACTCTACATTAATTTTTTCATTTGTATATAATGCGGAACTTTCGTGTTCCAAGTGTTCTCTGAGCCGGATAGTTCAGTTGTGAAACTTTGGTTGTTCTTCTAAGGAAAACCATTAGCACAACTTCCAAAAGAAGTCTTTCTTTTCACAACTAATCCATGCAGCTCACAAAACTTAACACCTCAAAAATCCTCATCCTGAGTTATAAACGTCTTAATTCTCATATTCACTGCATATAAATTCCTTTAATCCTTGTATTATTTTAGATCCTGCACGCAGAGAGCTAAACAGAGAAGCATTAGCAGTTGGGAGTTAAATTGAAAATATCATTAAATTATCTGGTAGGAATACAAATGCTTTAATTATTGAAACTGAAATGGAACAAATTCTTTATTTATACAGTTGAATTTACTTATGTTACTTATTTACATACAATGCTTCCCATTGTACAGAAATTTGTATAGTGATAACGTCATTATTACTATTGTTATGCTTACCCCTTTCTTGAATCATTCACATAATATATGCATTATATTGGTGTCTTCCCTTTTGCTTTGAAATACAGTATGCATCCCTATTCATCACTTGGTACTACTTTCAATGTAGATGATTTTTTTGTGTGTATGTATTTTTGTTTGTGTTACACAAGTTGATTACATTTCAGAGTAATGCATGGATTTTTAAGTATGAAACCGATAGAAAAGCACTGCACAACATGACTCTGCTTAAAAAAAACGGATATTTTATCTTCATCTGTTCTTGTAAAAAACGAAATGTAATCTGTAGTTATAAATAATTTTTCAAAAATAGCTACAATAATAATAGTAAAACTCGTGAAAGCTAGGATACAAAGTTATCTTAAATCACGTTTATTTACTTTATGAATGAATTCTGCGTTTTTGGTTGAAAATCACATAACCGCCCCAAAATTGCACTTAAAACACCCAAAATAGATTTTGCACAACACAAGGAGGTAGACATAGCTGACGACATGGCGATTTTATTTACTTTCCGAAAATTCAACTGTAACCAAATACGCTTGTGTGTGTGGATTTTAATATCATTTGATAATTAATTATTAAATATCATGCGTAAATGAACTAGCGGGAATGCAACTGATTTTTTCACTGAATTATTGTAAAACTGATGCTGGATATTGTACTGAATTAAAATCACACGATGGTTAATAAGTAGTAGCTGCCGTTTGCTTTTAATCCTTAAAATTAGCGTTCCGCAATTAGCTCTAGGTTTAACTTTGAACTGTTTTATTGTCGTCTATTTATTGGTTAATTAGACCTGACTAACTATTCCTTACGAAGATGTGATTAAATGTCTTTTTGTAGTGGTTACGGTTAATTATTGAATTGTATAGTTTGTGTAAAATTTCATTCATGTGAATTGAGAAAGTCTCATGGAAACATATGGTACTTATATTCTAGATATTGATCGCCATTTTATCCCATAATTAGACATTTTTTGGTAATTCCGTTGATCGGTTCATGAACTCAATTAAAACTCAACAATCTTCACAATCCTATGTTGACAATTATCATGTGCTCACTAGTGACTAGCTTTGAGAAGTAATTGTCGTAGTTCTAGTGAGAAGCCGTGACCAGTGGAGTTCAGCCGTGTCGAGTGTGAAGCAGTTACTCACCGAAGCCGATGGAAGGTGGTCGCGCAATATCGTGGATTGGTTTAAGTTGGACATGAACATCGTTGTATGCTGGCTCAGTTGTCTAGAGGTTAAACGCTCGCGCGAGAGACTGAAGGTCCTGGGTTTGAATCCTGTGTGCGGTATTGTGGATGCTCACTACTGAGGAGTCCCATACTGGTATGAAACGGCCGTTGAGTGCTTGTAGGTTTTCAGTGGCGGTCTAACACTGATCGGTTCATGAACTCAATTAAAATTCGGTTTTTATTGTGGCGTTATTTCTCGGATTTTTGTTGACTAAATTTTGAAGATTTTGTAAAAAGGGACTTGAGAAAGTCTTAACACAGATGTTATTTGTCAATCCAGTTGTACTCACTAGACAAACAAATCCAAATTTTGCTTGGTGGATTATTAACATCTAGTTCGCTGGTTAATATTTCTTTTATCGAATAGGTATGCTCTGTATGGTGTGACTCATAAGGCGACTCTTAGTTACTTAATTTCTATCCTTTGTTATAATTGACTCCATTACTATTAAATCGAGAATTGTTGAGTCTAATGCAACTTGACAAAAAAATCTCATAAAAAGATGACAAGTGTTTCGTTGCCTATCCTGATTATTATTCTAATCTTGACTTTCTACTGTAAACCGTCAGGTTTATAGTCTTAGCTATAAGTAATTGTTTTAAATTATTTCGAGATCGGAACTCAGTAGTTCCTGAAGCTTGATACAAAAAGTTCCTTAAAACTCCAAATCAGTAATAGCCATTTGCCGACTGGGTTTTTATGTATGGAAAATATCGTTAGTAACCCTTTTCCATTTATCCTCTAAAGTTCCTAGGTTAACTCTCATAGACGTCAAGAATTTTCTGTATCCAACAGTTGCAATAACACTCCAGTCAGTCAGTTACAACGTAGGACCAGGCACATATATGCATCGGTCGAAGTTGCCATAGCTTATTGGCACAACAAGATGAACACCGAATTCATAGAAATAGTTAATTTAGTGGTGATAATATATGAAAGAAAGATTGTATATAAAAACATAGTACAATAAGAAAGGAAGATATGAAGCAATCTTTAAAGGAAGATAGAGAATGTATACACCGACGCCATTGTGATCGATTCTGAGCCATGTCACCTAGGGTCTCCAACCATTGGTTACGGTAGTCATGCGGACCCCAACCAAGTAGTCTGCGTCTACCAACATGGCTCAGATCAGAAGCTAGTGACTTCAAGCACTGATTCCACGTTTTGGTTTGGCCGCCCCTAACTCTTTTCTAACCATCCCCTACATTAGTCAGCATAGCGCGTCGTGGTAATCGGTGTTCAGGCATACGTAACATGTGGCCTAAGCATCTCAGTCGATGAAGATTCACAACCTCATCAACTGATTTACCATCATTCTAACCTCACTATTACTTACCCGGTAATCCCTGTAGATGAGAGCAATATTTCTAAGGCATCTGTGGTCAAATACTAGTAACTTGTGAGTATCCTCTACTCTTAATGGCTACGTTTCGCAGCCGTAAAGTAGAACAGAGCAAACTGCTGCGCAGTATACTCGTCCCTTAATGGTTGGGCTGATATCTCGCCTTCGCCAAAGGTGACATAAGTCGACAAAAGCCAAATGAGATTTTTGAATCCGTGCTGAGATTCCGTCAGACACCAACCCATTAGGGCTGATCAGAATTCCAAGTTAAGTGAAGTTGTCGACGCGTTCGACTACTTCACTCCCTATCCTTAGTTCGGGTGTTGACGCAGACCAGTTCTGGAGTAAAAATTTGCATTTAGAGAGGAAGAAACGCATCCCAAACATCTTGGCATTGTTATTCTGTGCTAACAGAAGATTCTGCATTTTGTCAGCGTCTTCACCAAAGGGGACTATGTCATCTGCGTATTCTAAGTCGCTTAGTGGACCTCCTGGTAGGAGATCAATTCCTGTAAATTCAGTCGAAGGTAGTGTTATTTCCAGCAACAGGTCTATAATGAAGTTAAACAAAAATAGGGATAGTGGACAGCCTTGTCGGACACCACTTGATGTTGTACAATCAGATGACAGTTCGCCATAAGCTCTCACTCGACTGGTAGTGTTCGAGTAAAGAGCCTTCACAGGGTTTATGTACTTCTTTGCCGGAGAACCTCTCAGTCAACAGAGTTAAGTGCTGCTTTTAAGTCAAGAAAAACTATCATTGTTGGACGCCGATAAAATGTCTGTGTTCTAAGACCTGACGAATAGTGAATATGTGGTGTATGAAGCCACGACCAGGTCTGAAGCCAGCCTGATTTTCTCGTGTTTGCAGTTCACGAGTCTTAGTTAGTCGCCCGATAATTATTGAGGCCAGTATTTTAGATGTTATATTAGTCAAACTAATCTATCTGTGCTTATCACAGGATGATTTTGACGCCTTCATATATATTGGTACAATAAGTGATTGTGACCAGTCAGGTGGGATTACGCCCAACTCCCAGATTTTAGCCAGAATATTAGTCAACCTAATCGCTTAAATTGGACTACCATATTTAAAAACATCAAGAGCCAATCAATCTGGAGCAGCTGCTCTTCCTCGTTTCAGATTAGCTATAGCCTTTCGAACTTAAACTAGAGTCGGTGGACCTACTTCAATGTTCCATTCCGACTGTTTGGGAATGGTGGGTAACCGTAGAGTAGCTGAAAGCCAGCTAAACTGTTCTCTAAAGTGTTCCACCCATCGTTCTAAACGTCTGGGCTGAGAGCCGATAAGAGTTTCGTCTTTTTCCGAGATTGTCTCGCTTACAATTGACTTCTTAATTTCGGTTTCTTTTATTGGTCTGAAGAGTTGTCTGGTGTTGCCTACAGCCACTGCCTTTTCCATTTCTTTTGCTTTCATTGCCACTACTGCTCACGATCGCTCCCTATACTTTTAGTTTAACTAGGACTGATTTGCTTTCGCTCTTCATCGTGTTCAGAGCCTGATGGGATGATTTTACAAGTGTCCATTGGTTTCTCGGAACACTTTGGTTTAAATTACTAATAGATGTGACAGCTGTTGCCAAAGTTGTTCGTATATCTTTCCAAGCAACATCTGGGTCAGCCTCGTTTACAGAACTGTCTACATGTGAATTCACTTGTTCCTGGAACTTACTTTTAGCTTTCTCATTCCTCAGTTCAATTCCAATGGGTCTTTTTAATATGGTTTTCCTGCGTCCAGTGAGGCGCAAGCAAATGCGTGCTCGTATTAAAGCACGATGTCTCTCCATATGCTTAAAATTAGTGCTTGCTAAGAATAAACGATTGTCTGAGCATAGTTGCAACAGACGATCACCATTACCTGTTCGCTGACCCGGAATACTAAAATACCCACATAAATGTCTTTCTGTGTGGCCTAATTAGGCATTAAGGTCACCCGCTACAAGCACTATGTCTGAGCGCTTAGCTTTTTGAAGAAGTTCAGAGAGCTTCCTATAAAAGTGATCTTTCACTTCATCCGGGCTGCAGTCAGTGGGAGCATAGGCAGAAACGACAGAAAGGCAACGACGTGTGTCCCTATTCTTCCGAGTTCATACGGAGCCATTTAGCCGAACAGCACATAGGCGATTGTTAACGGGGGTCTATTCTAATAGTGCATGTTCTGCCCTCGTACTAAGTGCTATGCCTTCACCCGCAAGTCCACGAGAACTAGTCATAGGGTTGCCAGATACACGGAGGGTGTATTTCGTCGACTGTCCATTTTGGCGAGGTGAGGTCAAGTGAATGACCTCACTGGGACCCTGGATGTGTATTTCGGATACACAGCATACAATTATCGTACGAGATTCTAGAGTCTTGGTCAAGGGGACCTGTTGGCCGATTTCATATAGGGTACGTACGTTGAAGGCTTCAATGTGTAGCTTGGAGCGAGGTTTTAGTAGACCTGGGACAGTGTTTCGCGCACTAGAATCGTTGGCCATGGTGACATTCAAGGAGGAAGCCGAAAGGGGAAGTTTAGTGTTGAAAGTTGAGGTGGGAGGAATAATAGGAATTAAAGAATGAGATTAATTATGAATACAGTGATCTTGGGTGCTGTTGGAGGTATGAGGGCAGTTATTACTTCCCGGTTGCCCACACCGTGGAAGGGTTCTTCTAGAGGTACTTGAAAAAGGGAATTGGATCAGAAGTGGTCTTAATGACCTGAGAGCGTGAACGCAGTGCCCAAGGGACAACTGCTTGAAGTCGGTCACACACGACGTATTTGTTTTTTAATTTTTGTGTTAGCTCCGTACTTGTTGAGAAGGCAGCATCGCTGTTATGCTGGTTGTCTAAAGGAAATACCCTACTGCCGTCACATCTCTGTACAGTCAGCAGTACGAATTCGCCTTCGGACCTTGGGTTTGCTGCCTTTAGTCTTACCGCTCTTCAACCGATCTGTCTGACATGGTAGGACTATGAGGATCTATTGTTCCAGCCAGTATAGGTCGATTGGTTCACCACGATAAGCAAGCCCGACCTCCACATCAGGGTTGCAGCAATGGTCGGGACACTAACACTCCATCTCTATCATATGCTTCTTAAGAAAGCCGTTAGTTTCTTGGTATTGAATTTATACACAAGTCTATATATTGGTCCACAGTTTGAAGTTGTTTTGCCTTAACTTTAAAACTAATCACAACAATCTTAGAAGCGTTAGATTTCTGTTTTGTAATAAGGAAACAAAATTAGAATTGGCCTTCACCGTTCACATTTTTGTTTTGTGGTTCAATTTTGTTGCATTAAGATTCGGAGTTTGGTAAAAATTAATAAACCGTTTTGCCACAAAGTGTATCTCATCTACATTGAAAATCGAACCGATTCGTTCACATCAGTCTAAAAGTTTATTTGGAGTATTTAACGTTACATTTTATGAGTCTGTAACGACATCAACGAATCATTCGGGTATCTTTATCCATATTTTCATGTTATCTACTTTTACGGTCTTATTATTTGCATTGGAGTGATTATAAGTAATGCCAAGGTATATACTATCTGGCTTGCTGTCCCGTTAGTTTAGTCCCAGGGTTCAAAGATTACTGAAACTTCCCATAACATTTTGCTGTAAACATCTTATGTTGCTAAGGTATTTTGTACATAAGTTCTCTTATTTATTAGTCACTTGAGAATAGTCCATAAAGTCCTACGCAGTTAAATAAAATAACTATTGTTAATCTCGTGTTGGTGAATTTTTTAAACTCGTAATACCTCATTTTTCTAAAAATAGGTACAATATCTGTCATCTGTGTGATTTATGGACCGTTTTCGTTGGTGCTCAGACGATGTTGAGAATTATGGATCTACCAATCAAGATAGCCTACATGAAGAATCAGTAGTATTACAAAAATCTGGCGTCCGTTTATACGATGGACCTAATCGAAGTGCTTTCGACGGAGGCTTACTCAAGCTGACAACTCATCGTATCTTATGGTCTGATCCTTTATCACTGACAAGTTCTTTTATAGCTCTTCCATTGGCTGCTATAATTTCTGTGAAGGTTGAGGAGGGTGGGGGTAGTCTGACAGTAAGCCGTACACCGAAATTGATTCTTCGTTTGTTAACTGTAGCAGCGCTACAAAATGTATTGGCAAGTTTACCGAATCCTCCGCAGTGGATTGAGCACTGGTGTGAAGGTGTTGAAGGTTCCGGTTCTGGAATCGACAGTATCGCTTTTAGTGCGACTGCAGTTGTCAGCTATTCAAAAGAAGACCATGTCAAATTAGGCTTTCCAATGGCTGGGCATCATGAATTTCTACAGTCTCTAAACGAAGTCCTAAAGGTATATTTACGAAGTAATATATTTTTGAACTTGTCTTATTTAAGGTCAGTAAATTGTAATCGGTTTAATACAATAGTGCTTGGATCTGAATCTACACTTTTACACGTGTGTTACCTGTGGATTAAAATTTACTAGAGGAAGATATATGAATGATTGTAAAGTTGACATTTTTTGCTATGATTGTCATCTAGTAGTAAACATATCTTGACTCTGAAGTCAAACGTTTTCTTAATGTTTATGTTACTTTAAAAACGACCAGAATTTTTCGTTATCAATCTAGGTGAAACTGTGGACATTGTCTTATCATTCAGATTTTAAATTGACAACTAAGTCGTTTGGTACTGGAGGTATTGGGGCAATTCAAAGACAACAAGCTGCACGTGCTGTTGAAACTGATCGTAATATTGCTGAGACTTTTGAAGATTTGAGTCAACTTATGAACAACGCAAGTGAAATGGTTAAATTAAGTCGTCTGTTGGCTAAGAAAGTTCGCGATACAAAAGTAGGTGTGTTTTTGTTTTTAAAGTGCGAATAAAATATTTGGTTCTTTCCATTATTATTCGTAAGGACTTGAGTTTTCTCATTGTTTTGTTTGATATTTAGTACTCAGTTCTGACCAGTTTATGTTGATATAAAACGCATATTTATTGAAGAAATTATGATTATATCGTAGTTAGTTCAGAATCTATGAAATACTTTTCTATTTCAAGTTATCAGTCTTGCCCAAGCAGTGTTTTTTTGAGTTTTCATAGAATAAGATATAGTTTCCTCCTTACTCATTCACTAATTTCAATGTTGACCTACAGTTACATCGATTAGTTTTGAACATGTCTTCATCAATTATTCTACTTGTTAATCAAATAATTTCTGTCTCACTTAATCTCTTTTTCAGGGTAGTGATCTATCAGCTAATGAAATCGCTGAACTACGTTCGGCCATGCTGTCAATGGGAGTTGTAGAAGTCGTAAGTGGTGGCGATGACAGAGGATCCTCATCATCATCGCCATCATCGCTCAGCGGTACGACTTTCTATATTCGATTAGCTCATCAGGTATCAAGTATACTTTTTCCATTACTAAAAGGTCAATGTTCCAACCATTCAGCTGATCGCTTACATACTGGTTGTATTGATTTAGCAACAGCTTATTGTCGAGTTAATCGTGCACGGGGTATGGATCTGATATCTCCGGAAGATTTACTTAGAGCCTGTCGTTATTTAGATAAGGAAAATTTACCCATAAGGTTGAAGGGCTATGCAAATGGACTTTTAGTAGGTGCATCTTGTTTGTTGGTCTATTGTTAATATTGTTATTACTATTAATTTTTAGCTTGTATAAATTTTTAAATTTACTTCCGTTTCGTTCGAATGGAATATTTTTGCTTTAGGATTTTGCTATCCAGTGGGTAATTTCATGTAACAAGTGGTTTAGTTCTTGTGAAATAATTCCTTTATTTATTTATTTAGCACATAAATATTGGTACGAAGGGGCACCAGATATATATGCGCCACGCAAATCTCATTTAATTTGTGTGAGGGTTGTGATACTGCTCAGGTGCTTAAACTGAAGCAGGTAGTTTACTGAGGGGACCACACCCGGAGCCGTCGACCAAAAAGTCTGATCCACAAGGCAGTGGAGCATCGTAAGGATATGCAGTCCCATGGTAGCCGGTGACCAACGATTGATCCATACGTCATTTATTCCCCCAGGATATTGGAACCCATGTGCACCATTGGTTTGAAATCAGGGTTTTCCAACTCCTCTAGGTGGATGCACCGTGTCCACCAACCCGGTTAAAGCGCCGGACATTCGCTTTTCGTCCTTTCAATTTCGTAAACAAAACCCCCGCTACGATAAGGCAGTGAGTAGGACTTCCCTGACAGAGGCTATATATTCGTGTGGCCATGTGAGAGTATTTCGAGAGGGAGAGCGGACACTCCCCACTCTCGGCCGTACCAGGGCATTTGGGGCGAAATAATTCCTAGATCTTCTTAATTCGATAATAATACCGTTAAATAAATTGAATACAATGCTTGTGTGTAAGCGGAAGACTATTTTGCATCTTTTGTCATGGTAAATTACTTTTCGTCCACCTGTTCCACACAATTTTACCATAGGACGCGTTGGGGATTCTAGATCTTCAGAACTCACTTGGTTAATGTTTATTTTTGTAATTTTATCTATTTGAATTTTCCGCACCGAAAGTGCCCACTTTCACCTTCTGATGTGTGAGCGAGAATGACAATGATTGGTTGTCTTGATGAGTCAGACATTAGATAGGATGACAGGTGTTATATGTGTTCTATATATCCCCCTATCCTTATTATGTATGGACTGTTCCTTGTTGATGGACAGTTATTGTTGGGCTGTTCCTTGTTGTTGGACTGTTATTGATTGACTGTTCCTTGTGTCGGATTTTGGTGTGGAAATATATTGACGTTATAGTCAGGCTAACCTCGTGTTCTTGATCTTAGTTGTGTTGAAGTCCTGTAGAATAGACACTGGGTGGGAATCTAGTGTAGATATTCGTCTAAGTTAAATTAACGTCCCACATACGTGTAAAAAGTGAAAGGACTGTTATAACCAGAAACTCTAGAGTTATAAGAAGCATCCTTAAATTTATAACTCCTTCATATTGTATTTCCCACTTGGAAAGACCTTAAATGTTATTGGTTCGTTATCTCTTTTAATATGCTATTTTGTGACGTTTCCCTAGGACATTTTTATGCTGCATATGCATGCTTAAGTTGTGTTTGTTGTTGTTGTCCGTGCTTGCGGATGCTTGTGGAATACACTTCTCCTCTTCTGAACCTGGACTTTCCCCTCTAGTTAGCGGTCTGGGACGCATCGGAGTAGTTAGCTTATCTGGTCATTGTGTCGCTGAGTCTTGCTTCTGTTCACAGATTTTGGTGATCTCGTAATCCCATCAAAAATAGCAGAACTGTTGGTTGCTCACTATATAGTTGTGCGGAGGAGACAAAAAATTAAACACTGCTAAGTTCGAAAGCTAATTTTCAGGAGATGGGTACTTATATTTTTAATGTGCATTTATTGAACACTTATTCTAGTAGATTTTTATATTGAACTAATTGTAAGCCTTCACTCCTTGGCACCACTGCTATGATGTTTTCTTTACTTGAGTTATCATAACTTATTGATAAACCTGTAATTTAGTCTTTGTATCGTAAATGTTCTACTTGGGTCATATATTGTAATCTTTTGTTTGTATTGTGCTGTAAATACTGCATATAATGTGATTTTTCAAGTCATATATAGAGTTAACATCGTCTGTCTTACCTTCTCATTCTAATAACGGCTTGGCAACAGAGAAATTTTGTGTACGTCAATAAATGTTTGAATATCTGGTCACAGGGTCGGGGGGATCAGTACTATTAGATTAAGGATACAGTCAAAGGCTATATCAGTATTCAGACTCAACCAACTTACCTATGGCAAAAGTATGAACAAGTTTCTTTTGTAAATATTGTTCAAACAAATATTTCAACAATTCTAATAAAACGAAAACACACTGACTTTTACAGATTTCTATTCGCTTTTTAGATGGTTGAACACGAGAGAAAAACTGCAAAATACACGAGAAGCACTTTACTCCAAAGGTTCATTTATGTACAGAAAATATTGGGTTTTTATAGTATTTTAGAAGTCCTTGAGTTTTTCTGGAAATTCTGGGATGCTACTAAACGTAGTAGCAGTGTAGTAATCAGCCAATCAGAAACTCTACATGTGACTTTTTACTTTCGTGATGTTTTTAGCAAAACGCTGATTGGATAGAATGTTTCCTGAGCCTTTCTTGTCTATTACGAGAAATTTTCAGGATCGCCCCAACATTATGAATGATGGATGTTTAAATAAAATGACATGTCACACAATGGGTTTACTTCTTATGGAGCCACTTTTACTTCTATTCAAACATACAGGATGGTGTTCTTTGTTTCTTTAGTAGAACATGCATCGACTGAATGACACACCTAGTACCACAGAAATGTTCAAATTGAAGAGGTCAGATGCAAGAGATTATTCTTTAGGCTATCGATCAATATAGATCGACTGAGTATTACTAGTCTAAAAGTTGATACGGGAGTTTTTTTGAGTAATTTTGAGATTTTCCTGCTAAAGATGTTAACAATTATATCATCCTTAAAGTCGACCTTCATGAAATGATTTCCAATATATTGTGAACCTTTGTTTTTAACTTCGACTATTAATTTGTTTATATTTTCTATTTAGTGCTATTGTTATACTTTAAACATTTCACTTTTTCGTCTTATTAGTTTATTGATTTTTCTTGACATGTAAAATATCATGATTTATAGAAAATATACAATTGTGACGCTGTAGAAATTGATCAGCACTGAAGGACTAGGTAAGTATGACACTAGTCAGTAGTGAGTGGTCAATCCACTGTGAATATGTTAGTCCTTCAGAAGTCAGTTGCTTCCCGAATAGCCTAGTGGTAGTCTCACAGTATGGGGATGGGTGACGCCAGTTCGAATCTCCCGGGAAGAACACCATTTGTCTCAAGGTTGTAAGTATACGTTGCTGATGAGTGTTGACTAGCGTAAAACTTAGATCGACTAAGGTTTCCAGTCGACTACATCCAACCACTCAAGATATACGATTGTCTGAAGTTGTATTTAGTTTCTATTGTCAAGTCTAAAATGACACTTCCTGTGTTTATTAATTTGCTTTTTTTATTACGTCTGGTTTTGACTTTTCCTGCCAATTTTCTTTTCACGTAGTTTTTTCATGTTTAGTGCAGCTGGAAACACTTTCCACCTATTTGTCTTTTACGTTTTTCCTCTTGGTTTTTTTTTGCATTGGTCCCAATGGCACTGTAAATATGTTTGTGTTTAGGCAAGAACTCTTTGCTTGGTTTCATTCATATTGATCTCTTTAATCAATAATTTGCTGAACATGTTATTTTTCTGACTAGCTAAAGCCAAAAAGAAAATAAGAGATTTTGTTCAATGTTTAAGAAATCAAGTACAAATGTTATTCATTGTATAGTCAAACTACATCATCAATTTATTTTATATTTCCGATATGACTTTTTACAATTAAAATCTAAAATGTTTAATTGTTTGTTTTGTATATTTTACTAGTAACATTAATTGATTTCTGATTACCAACTACATTTATTTATTTATAGGTTCTTCAGCTGGCATCTGAAGATGAAATAGAAACATTGAAATCTACAGTAGAATTAGTGGAAAAACGCATTAGTTTGTCAGTGGATGAACTTGCTCATACAGTTAACCTCTCTCCTGTTTTGGCTAAAGCAAGATTGTTGGCAGTTGAAGAAGTTGGTCTTATTTGTCGTGATGATAGCGAGGCTGGTTTACGTTTCTATCCAAATTATTTCTTAACTCGTCATGATTAAATATTCTAATTGGCTTTGAATTATAAGTTTTTCAATTTTTTTGTTTTTGCCAAAACTGAAGTTTATCTGTTCTTTGCTCATTGTATTCGAAATAAAAATATGAAAGAAATCTATAGTTTTTGATTTTATAAACCGCATGTGTAACTTTTTCACACAATAAATATGAGTATCAAGATTTAACCTGATAATTTCAAATCTAATCAGAATTAAATATATATTGTTTATAACGATAAAATAAAAACATAGCAACTTTGTATACATCATTTCTTCGGCGAATAGATGACTAAATTCTGTGTGAGAGATATCTGTGTATGCTCGTGTGAAAAATGTGATATTTAAATGTAATCTACTTATAGTTACAGGCACACCTTATTGACAAGTGCCAACTATCATGAAAACTAGGTCCATAATTTCCTGTTAACCACTACCTTAGATACAATGTTCCACATTTCCAACTTTGATCAGTTCGTGATATTGAACATTCATCATTTATAGTGGCTTCAGTGGTAAGTTCCTCACTTCCATACATAGTTGTTCTTCATTAGGGTTACTGTGGAAAATTGTGAAGCTAGTTACTGATAAATACATGACTGTAGACGTCATTTATTTGTATCTGAATTTTTCAATTATCAGGGTACGTCAACTTGTCTTTGATGAACAGGTATTTAGGCTCTTATCATATCGATTTAATGATTTATATGAAACAATTAATAAAACCGGTTATTAAAGTGTTTAATACTGTTGAGTATGTTCTCACCTGTGAGTTATTTTTGAAAATTAATATAAAATTAATTTAATAGAAAATCATTAGCGTGAGTTGAAAGCTTCTATTAGTTCAAGCAGAAATAACGTATTGTTTTGGCTCTATGCCAACAACTTCAACCAGTCAATTCAATATCATTGGTAAGAATCGATGAGAAACAAACATGAAGAGTAAGTGTCGGTTTTTTCGTGCATGTAAGGATCTGCAACATGAGTTGTTTTTCAGTTAATCAGGGAAATTCTCCCATCACATTAAACATTGTAGTTTGGAAATAATCTGTACAGTGTTATGTTCAATACTCAAGTTTTTAGTACAACATTATACATCTAGGATCTTTACACGATCTTTTATACGTTATTGAAATTACTTGTCCATAAAGTGTTGTTGGTTGTGACGGCTTATTTGCTGCTTTCATTTCTAAACCATTAAATAATTAGGGACCTGAATAGTTCAGTGGTAATATCTCTAACCGGCTCATTGTATGCCACTTGTTCGAATCATGTGGAGAACATTAGTTCTTTCTGTCAAGATTGAAAGAACATCTTGCTAACTACTAATAAAAAAAGTTTTCGGTCACAGGCTTCCAATTGTTTGCACCGAGCAACATGATTAAAATAGTTAATCATTGTTAGTTTAAGATATATCTGCCGCTAAATTATTTAGGAAATTACCGACCATTTTTACATTATCTGCAAGATAAGATGATCTGCTTGAAGAAAGGGAATTTGTTTGTGATAAAAATTGAAGTATGGAAAGTGACAGTTAATTAGCATGTTTGAGTGAGTTATCTGGCTTTTGTTACTCAAACCTGATATTGTCTATCATATCTATCATCTATCCATTATATTTATTGATCTTTTGTCACTAATTATGCGTGTCGTATTTGAGCAGATGAAGATAACAAGTTTCCCTCTGTTTTTCAAGGTTTCATTTGGAATTTCACTTGTTTACGCTTTAACCAATATAGTAATGAAAGAAATACCTGTCACTGTTAGGAAGATATGACCAGTTCATTTCTTATTAACTTGTCGTTGAATCTCGAATTAATTTTTACAATTCTTGGGAGACTGTATTAAAGAAAGCAGAATTAAGGTGTTGATCACCTATACATACCTTGTGGACTTTTAATTTTCGCAACAGTAAGAACGATCTTTGAAATATGTCATTTTGAATAGCTTAAATACATGGTAATAATATTTTATTATTTCTCCAAATGATTCACCGCATTGTATTATTCTATTGAAATGTTTATGAAGTTCAATAGAATTGAGTAGAATTATCATAAACCTACCAACTATGACTTAAATTCTTTCGATTTGTGTGTTTACACTACTTACCATCTGTTGTGTTGTATACACTTGTGTGTGTTTGAATAAATATGCTCTTTGTATACATGAAGTATTTTACGAAAGATTTTATTGTATAATGTTTAATTAAACAATGGCGAATATTTTAATTGGTGATTATATGGCGTACTTCTTGGCGTACATTCCAATGTGAGACATGATCAACTAACTCGTTTAGTTTTTGTTAGTTATAATATCAGAACATACCACGTTCATATAAACTTACCGTAAGTTACTATCCAGATATTTAGAACTTCATATTTCTCCATTATGTGGCTATCTAACAAATTCTTTCCATTTTGCGTTTCAATCTCACATGAAGTTTATGTTGAACCTTAAAATACCTCTGCCTGTAGCTCTTCTAGGGCTACTGTCGGTCAGCAACCCCATCCCGTAGAAACCAACCTTGCTAACCAGCATAAACGTTTCAAACCATTTAAACTCTGCCTTCCGAGTTGAAGGATCTTCATTCAGAAGAATTATGACGCCTGATGATGAAAGCCGAAATTCTTCGGAACCCACGAGGCGGATGACCCTTCTAACAACTAGAGCAACAATTAACATAGACACATGGAATGTCCTAACGATGTGGGAAACCGAGAGGACTAATCAAATAATTGCGAAAATGAGGAAATACAACATGTAGGTGCTCGGAGCCAGTGAAACCTACTTCGACCAAAGTTGGATAGAAAATGATATATTCAGGTGAGATGCTGCTGTACTCCGACCACGAGGAGGAAAATGCTGTGCATATTAAGGGAGTTGCTCTGATGTTGTCCAAAGAAGCACTCAATGAACTTATAGGATGAGAATCTTATGGATCCAGCCAGTATCATGAAAGCAGTTTTCAAAACAAAGAAGGAGGGAATCACAATGAATGTTACCCAGTGTTATGCACCCACCAATGATAGCAATGACGACGATAAAGATCAGTTTTATGAGAGGCTGTTATCAATCATAGTGAAGTGCTCAGGAAAGGAACTGACCATCCTGATGGGAGACCTAAACGCCAAAGTCGGAATGGAAAACACCAGTTATGAAGATATAATGGGTCGATATGGACTGGGAGAGATGAATGAGAATGGCGAGAGATTCACAAATTCATATGCCTTCAGCAAAATTGTTATGGGCAACGTGATATTCCCCCACAAACGTATACACAAAGCTACATGTTTCTCACCGGGTCACTCTACAGAGAACAAGATCGATCATATTTACATCATTACAAAATTGAGAAGGTTAATAGAAGGAGTGAGAACTAAGAGAGAAGCTGATATAGTTTCAGATGATCACCTAGTTGCCTGGGAACCAGGATGCTCCACACTCTATTCAGGAAGGTTTGGGAGGAAGAACAAGTGCCGATGGACTGGAAAGGAGGACACCTCATCAAGATACCAAAGAAAGCAGATGTGACAACTGCCGAGGCATCACACTACTGTCGATACCGGGAAAGGTTTTCAACAGAGTGTTGCTGAACCTGATGGAAGACTCAGCAGACGCACAGCTTCGAAATCAACAGACTGGATTCCTTAAAGATCGGTCATGCACAGAACAAAACGCGACATTACGAATCATCATTCAACAATCAATTAAATGGAATTTGTCAATATATACAAACTTCCTTGACTGTGAGAAAGCAGTTGATCATGTGGATAGGATAAACGTATGGGACTATTATCGATACCACAACGTATTTGAGAGGATCGTCAACGTTATTTGAAATTCTTACAACGGACTACACTGTAGAGAAGTAGCAGCAGCCTCTGCATCAGTAGGACTCGACATACACAAGGGAAAAACTAAGATCCTCAAATACCATACAGAGAACACCAACGCAATCATACTTGATGGAAACATTCTGGAAGAGCTGGAGATTTTCATGTTCTTGATCAGCATCATCGATGAACAGTAGGATCTGATGTGGACGTAAAGGCGAGGATTTACAAAGCAAGGGCCGCTTTCTTACGGTTGAAGAACACATGGGACTCAAAACAACTGTCTTCAAGCCATCATCAAAGTCAGGATCTTTAATGCGAACGTCGAGACAGTTCAAATATATGGAGTCGAAGCTTGGAAAACTACTACAACCATCATTAAAAAAGTACAAGTTTTTATAAACGATTGTTTACACAAGATACTCAATGTCCATCGGCCAGATGCTATAAGCAATAAGCGACTGTATCAGAGAACAAACCAGCTTCCAGAGGAGGAAGAAATAGCAGTTGGAAACAACTGGAAAGGATTGTCCAGGACAGTGTTAAGTGGAGAATGCTGATGATCGGCCTGTGGTGCTCCACGAGTTGTAACAGGCGTAAGTAAACCTCAAAATGTTTTTTCTCTACTTATTTGTTAGTAAGTAGCATCAATGTGATATGATGATATTTTTCTTAGGGTTTCCACCTTAAACTTATTGCATATACACTGGAATTATTATATTTAATTTCTGAAGTTATTGGTGTTTCTTTTCAGTAACAACGTTAGTCGATTTTTTCCTAATTTTTCCTCTTGAATAATTTCTATACTCATGATTCTTATTATAGATATCTATCAATTTTGGAAATTTGAAGATTTCTAATGTTAGTTGAGTTAATCTGATATCGTCTTTGACATGGATTATTTAAGAAATATCATATTATATCTTAGCTTTTCTGGGGGATTTATATTATTCTATTGTCTACGTCATACCATGATGGGACGCTTTTTAAAATTTCTGCTTTTGAAACCGGCATCCGTAATCTGGGTAATTATGCCGTTTGCTGTCAGGAAAATGATTTCAGAAACAATCCTTTGGTTCTTATTTGAGAGGTAATTTTTATTCCGTTTATAATTGATTTTTATAATTGAATTAAAAGTCGTTGCCATTCGGGATGAAAACAGTAGATTGAAGTGATCGATGCCTGAATTTCAATCATAGGCATTGTTATATCTAGAGCTTTGATTCTTACTATGCCGCGTACTACTAGACTACTTGAACGATTGAACCCGCAACGTCGCAAGAGAGAAGAGAGAAGACTAGTAAGTAGGAATTTTTATTCCCCAAAAACAGTGTCAAAATATAGTACAGAAATCTCATGTATTCATAGTTTTTGACTGAGAGTAAATCATCATTTCGGACAACCAATAGGCACATAGGGGGTCATTCTTATTCATCCAATGGGGAAGCTACACGTCGACATTCTAGAATATTTCCCTAGCAGTGGTTAGATGGTATGTCTTCGGCTCTTTCTGGGCTCCTTGAAGGCTTCCTAGAGTTTACCAACGAGCCATTCTTACAGGCATTAACTGTAATCCAAAGGTAATCAATCTGTTCTTGATCATAGATTCATATATATATATAAATTTTGAGATTACCGGTTAAATTTTCCACAATTATTTATTTTCAAGACAGGTATTGATACAAATATGTACCAGAATAAACATGAGGCACATAAATAAGGAAAGGAAATTGTGTAGAGACATAGGGAGGAACGAGAGATAATATGAGACAACATGGAGTGAAGTGACTTGAAATGGATGTCGATGCTTTTAGCAGGCTGGTTAAATGCAATCCTGAACGGTGCATAACCTGGAAAAAGTGTGCATTAGCCTGAATAACACGGGAGTTGTTATTAAGAAAAGTGATGGATGTCTTAATATGAGAAATATAATTTGTAAGGAGCGAATAACCTTAGGGCATCATGGCATATTATAACACTATAAACTCATGAAAAACGATTGTCGGTCGGTTCGTATATTTGTATATAAATGGAGTACATCCATTTACGCATGAAACAGAAAAGAATGGTTCAGCGAATTTTTTCTCAAACCTATAGATTTCTGAATATATACAATTGTCACAATGGTAATTAATAATGTTTCTTGAAGATAACGATGATCGATTCAACGTAGCAACAAGGGAACAAAATTTGTAAAATTTTATTGTTTTAGAGATTGAAGGTCTAGTTGTTGAGATCTTGAATGTTTGTCAAGAATATCATGGAAGTTAAGTGATGATTAAAAGTTGTAGAAATTGATTTCAGAAAACGATACAGATGAATGTCAACGCTGCAATATGGTACAGTAATCAAAATTGAGATTAAGCTGGTTGGGTGTAAAAGAGTCATTAGAACAAACACTATTTGAGTGGATCGCCGTTACCAATCGCCAACAGGTCCCCTTGACCAAGACTCTAGAATCTCGTACGATTAATGTATGCTGTGTATCCGAAATACACATCCAGGGTCCCAGTGTAGTCATTCATTTGACCTCACCTCGCCAAAATGGACAGTCGATGAAATACACCTTCCGTGTATCTGGCGACCCTATTACTAGTTCTCGTGGACTTGCGGGTGTAGGCATAGCACTTAGTACGAGGGCAGAACATGCACTATTAGAATAGATCCCCGTTACCAATCGCCTATGTGCTGTTCGGCTAAATGGCTCCGTATGAACTCGGAAGAATAGGGACACACGTCGTTGCCTTTCTGTCGTTTCTGCCTATGCTCCCACTGACTGCAGCCCGGATGAAGTGAAAGATCACTTTTATAGGAAGCTCTCTGAACTTCTTCAAAAAGCTAAGCGATCAGACATAGTGCTTGTAGCGGGTGACCTTAATGCCTAATTAGGCCACACAGAAAGACATTTATGTGGGTATTTTAGTATTCCGGGTCAGCGAACAGGTAATGGTGATCGTCTGTTGCAACTATGCTCAGACAATCGTTTATTCTTAGCAAGCACTAATTTTAAGCATATGGAGAGACATCGTGCTTTAATACGAGCACGCATTTGCTTGCGCCTCACTGGACGCAGGAAAACCATATTAAAAAGACCCATTGGAATTGAACTGAGGAATGAGAAAGCTAAAAGTAAGTTCCAGGAACAAGTGAATTCACATGTAGACAGTTCTGTAAACGAGGCTGACCCAGATGTTGCTTGGAAAGATATACGAACAACTTTGGCAACAGCTGTCACATCTATTAGTAATTTAAACCAAAGTGTTCCGAGAAACCAATGGACACTTGTAAAATCATCCCATCAGGCTCTGAACACGATGAAGAGCGAAAGCAAATCAGTCCTAGTTAAACTAAAAGTATAGGGAGCGATCGTGAGCAGTAGTGGCAATGAAAGCAAAAGAAATGGAAAAGGCAGTGGCTGTAGGCAACACCAGACAACTCTTCAGACCAATAAAAGAAACCGAAATTAAGAAGTCAATTGTAAGCGAGACAATCTCGGAAAAAGACGAAACTCTTATCGGCTCTCAGCCCAGACGTTTAGAACGATGGGTGGAACACTTTAGAGAACAGTTTAGCTGGCTTTCAGCTACTCTACGGTTACCCACCATTCCCAAACAGTCGGAATGGAACATTGAAGTAGTTCCACCGACTCTAGTTGGAAGAGAGTTAGGTGCGGCCAAACCAAAACGTGACATCAGTGATTGAAGTCACTAACTTCTAGTCTGAGTCATGTTGGTAGATGCAGAAAACTTAGGTGACATGGCTCAGAGTCGATCACAATGGCGTCGGTGTATACATTCTCTATCTTCCTTTAAACTATAAGATTAAGATTGCTTCATATCTTCCTTTCTTCCTGTACTATGTCCTTATATACAATCTTTCTTTTATATATTACCACCACTAAATTAACTATTTCTATGAATTCGGTGTTCATCTTGTTGTGCTGATGAGGTATGTCAACTTCGACCGATGCATATATGTGCCTGGTATTACGTTGTAGCTGACTGACTGATATCATCCATATATATATATATATATACGGAATGTTTCAACAAACAATTGTTCTATCGATTACGTTAAATTGTGAAAGAATACAAAGAAAGTTCATCGTTGGGATATATTTCAGGCACTTGTCAGTTGAATAACATTCATATTTACAAAATATTGAAAGGAAAATCCATCATTACTAATAATCAATATATGAGATTGAATATTCTTTTCATGACAGATTATAATATTATCATCATCTTTGCATTTATTATTGTTACTGTGTAGGTTAGGCATATTGGTTATAGACTGATTGATTTAAAATTTACTCCCCTTTGTATATTCTACATGATTATAGGGATATATATATATTATTTGATTTTGATTTATTTCCTTCGGGAGAAATTATTTATTCTGTTTTTTTTTTTTAAAAATAATCTTTAATTGTTTATTGTTCTTTTTTCTTTCTATTATTTCTTTTGACAATTTTTCATAGAGGAATGTTTTTGTTTTGTTTTTTACTGTGATTATTATTGTTATTTACCCAGAAAATTGTTTATACATAATAATTGATTTTATTTCACATTTTGTATTGTGTATCGGGTGGATTTTGGCTCTTCTTACGCATGTACATATACATACATACATACATACATACATGCACACATTTTCCATTTTAATGACAGAATATTGTGATTAGTTTATTATGTAAAATAGAATTACGATTGATTTTAACACAATGTCTGTTATTTGACAAATAGAGTAGGTTTATGTACTTATTTTGAACTGTAATTTATTTTCAGAAGGGGTTTTGTGGAGATTTTAGTATTTTTATAGAGTTGAGATCATGAGTCAATTGAAGCTAGACTACCATGGAAAACCTGGAAGCACTGGACGGCCGTTTCGTCCTATTATGGGACTCCTCAGCAGTGCGCATCCACGAACCCGCTCTCGCGAGCGAGATTCGAACCCAGGACCTACCAGTTACGAGCCAGAGCCCTTAACCGATAGACCACTGAGCTGGCATCCAACGGTGTTAATTTAAGGGCTTCGGCTCGAAACTGGTAGGTCCTGGGTTCGAATCCCGCGAGAGTGGGTTCGTGGACGCGCACTGCTGAGGAGTCCCATAATAGGACGAAACGGCCGTTCAGTGCTTCCAGGTTTTCCATGGTAGTCTAGCTTCAATTGACTCATGATCTCAACTCTATAAAAATACTAAAATCTCCACAAAACCCCTTCTGTAATTTATTTATTTATTTAGATATATAAACATTGGTGCAAGAAGGCATCAAATACATATATGTGCCACATAAATCTCATTCGATTTGTGTGAGAGCTGGGATACTGCCCAGGTGCCCAAACTGAAGCAGGTAGTTTTCTTAAGGGGCTATACCCCGGACCTTTGACCTCAAGGTCTAATCTATTAGGCAGTGGAGCAACGTAAGAAGATACAGTCCTATGGTAGCCTGTAACCAACAATATGTGCATACGCCAATTTGTTTCCTTAGGATCCTGGAGCTTATGTACACCATTAGTTTGGAATGAGAGTTTTCCAACTCCCCTAGGTGGATCCTCCGTATCTATCAACCCGGTTAAAGCGCCGAGCATTCGCTTCTCGCCCTCTCAATTTCGTAAACAACACCCCTAGTACAAGAAGGTAATGAATAGGACTTGCCTGACAGTAGTTGTATGCACGTGGCCATTTGAGAGCATTTCGAGAGGATCAGGTGACTCTCCCCACTCTCGACCGTGCTAGGGCATTTGGGGGCTGCAATGTTTGTGTGTGTGTGCGTGTACTGAATAGTAATATTAATCAACTGTCCAAACATAAGTAAGTTGAACAAGCCTTTAATTTGCGAAGTAAGGACTGGAAATTGTCACTTCAATCGGAAAATGAGATCAGTATCTCTTGATGATGTCCGAACGAAATTCCATTCATTATAGATATATTATGAAAGGCTGTTGGAGAATATATGGTACCTCGTTTCTTTAAACATTCCATGCTTGGGGTTGAAATAGTTGGTTAGCGGTGATTAATTAATCCTATCAAATGAAATAAATATTGTTTAGTCGATTCATTTAAATGCACTCAACTGATCCTCCTTAACTAGATTTTCATTTCACTTGAGTATCAAATATCTAAATAGCTATATAACGTTAATTATTTATCTGAAGTATCATTATACGGTAACCTACACACGTCTTTATGTTTTTTCCCAACATATCTTTCTCCCTCTATAAACATGCAGAAACAACGTTTCCACTTTACATTCATACTGCTAAAAAGAGAATATTGGCAACATGTCTTTTAATGTACTTATTTATCAGTATGTTCATTTATGCTACTATGAATTTTTGTTGATTAAGGCGGAAAATACATGTGTTTCTCACGCCTAATCAAGGCCTACCCTGGCGTTCACTGTTAGATGAAACAAGAGTTGAATTATAACAAAAGGTAAAGTTGGACAAGTCATGGTGTGGTATCAGTCTATGAAGTCAATGACTGTTAGCGCAATACTTGTAACCACTGGTCAAAGTAGTTGAGTGAAATCGAATAGGTGTAGTCATTCTTTGTTTTCCTTTACCCTATATGTAGACAAGAATCTTTCCAAATGAGTTAAATAAAGGAATAAGCTATATTTCTAAACTTGTGCTTCAAAAATGATAAACATGTCATATATTTTATGCCTAGTCTTGCTTACTATCAATTCTGCTAATACTTTGATGTTCACCTTGGTGGTTTGTTGTGGCAAGTTGGACTGATGTACAGATGTGTCAGTGGTTTGCTAATGAAACTTATTAATTTAGATTTTCATTTCTCATGAAGAAAGATAAAGTGTTTCGTCCAAAATCTTATTGTTCATGAGTGAAGTCAAATATGGCTAACATGAACGATAAAGATGCTAAAGTTGGTTTAACAACCGTTGGGTTGACAATAGAACTAAATTTAATCAAATACTATGGATGTTACGTACCGATGTTTAGTATGGTATAAGGTTTTCTTTAAAAATATGTCTTATTATTTGAAACACAGCTTACTGCATATTCTACTAAATTTGATTAATTTATATGGAGTTTTGTTTTGTAATCTATATATTATTGTTTATTTCTTAGATGTTAATATTTATGCCTAATGTTATTGTTATAAATCAATAGTCATGTATATATTCATTTACAAATATTTAAGCTAAATGAGATTATTAGATATTCAGTTATTATAACTTTGTTAATAATAGTAACGATAATATATTCTGAAGATGAACTTATATAGCATGCCGGTTAATAGTGATGACCAAGTTAATACTACTAGTTAAGTAATTTGTTAGGCGGTCGTCTAAGTCTGATACCGATATATACGCTTCCTATATGAGAGCCCAACCATCTACTTCAGTGAAAAAATAAAAAGCTTTTACTAGCTTATCCTAATTAAAATACATACACAAACTCATTTGTTAATATGGAACTGTTTCCCTCGAATACTGAAGCCAGATCATTAAACAATAGGGTGGACCTCACCAGCATTTATTACTCATAGTTTGGTCTGATTGACACGTCCTATCAGGTAATAATAATTAAGTTTACGTTTTTCCAGATATTATGACGGGCCGAGGAAACCTGATTGCATGCCATCTATTGGTTGTCGTTGAATTTATTCATCGAACCACAAAGTTTTCCTCCTTAACAACGAAATATTTCGTACTAGGCACTTAAGACAAAGCTGCTAATGATGTGAAATATGAAGCATATGTTGTATGCATAACCATAAGTGATATGATTTCATAGTACAGACGGTGCACCGTAATAAAGATTGATTTAACAAGGATAACGCTATTATTAGTTTATCAATCGTATAAACATGTCGATGAAATTATGTGGATGCATTATTGTGTGTATTATGTCGTGAAAGACACTACATGGTTCCCACAAAAGGTGCATGTTAGAACGTCCTGTTTGTTCGTCCACATCGCTTCATAGAGGCCATTGTCGCCGTTTTGGACTGTAGTGAGTTGAGAGGTTGACTGATGGATTCAGTTTACTGAAAAAAAAACTGAGTGTGATGACATATCAGTAACACTGATAGTCGAGTACACTGGGGCCTCTCTCGCATATCTAGAATTCTAATGGATTTTTCAACACCGTCTTAACATAGGAAGTTATCATAATCTTTTGATACTATGAGACGGTTCAACTTTCAAGTCATAAAAAACTGATCTAACGAGAAAACGAGTTCGTTTGTGTAACGTTATGTGATTTCAGTTTCGTTACAGCATTTGTATTTTGATCTACGGACAATGAAAGAAAAGAAAACGGGAGTATATGGTGTAGAATCAAATCATGAATACAATAAATGTGGGATAACTTCATGAATGATATTGATCGCTTCCTAGTATGGTGTTTGTAGTAGATACCACTTTCTAACCCTCCGTTCTGCATGCATTTAGTAACAGGTAAATTCAAGATGATTTTTTTCTGCATAGGGTAGTGAAGATCGTTGAGTTTTTAATTGAAATCATGAACCGATAAATGTTAGACCACCATTGAAAACCTGGAAGCTTTGAACGGCTGTTTCGTTGTACAGTATCGTGAACTGGCTAAAGTTAAACATTAACACTAGTCCAGAGTTTAAACGTTTGCGCAACATCGAAGCTTATTGGTTTGAGTCCCGCGTGTCCTGTCGTGGTTTCACATTACTGAAGAGTCCTATATTTGAGATGAAACGGTCGTTCAGTGCTTTCAGGTTTTCGATGGTGGTCTATCATTGATCGATTCGTGATTTCAATAAATTCTTTATTTATTCAGGTGTGTTGTAAGAACAAAAGCCTAAAACAGAGGTATAAAAGTTATCAGTAGCCTCAATTTTGTTATATTAGTGAGTATTTAAGGGTGTGTCATGCATCAAGTTAGTCTAGGCAATCTCATGGTTCTAGAGTTTGAGTTTATTTGATGCCTATGAATGATTTAGATGTTGGTTTGTATCACGAGTAAATAGAATAACCTAGTATATTCCACGAACTGGGGATCTGTTTGTTAAAATGTCAGTCATATAATGTAAAACAACTTTTTTGTCTACGAAGACAGAGTAGTATACAAATTAATGTATGTCTTATGTCTATCCTAATTCTAGGCATTGTGTTTATCAAGTCGTTTATTTAAGCTGTCTTGTTTTTGGACATTATATATTGATAATGGATGTTATAACTGTGCTCTATCGGTATTCGTGGTTAGAGAATAATCTGTTTCTTGGATCTGGATGTTTATTCCTTAATGGTGTGTTATATATGTTGTTGTGTTTTAGTGATCCAGGTTAGTTATTGAAACTGCTTGTGATTGGTATTATGTGCTTTATATTCGTCATAGTATTTTTTTGTACTGTTAGCAGCACATTCATTGGATTAAAGCATGGTCTGTGCATGATTATGTTGTAGCAAGCTGATTGGCTCATTCTTAACCAATCAACACCAGCAGATGGATAGAGAAGGTTTTAGAATCTTCGTGTGTACGATTATAAATATATAAATATTTTTCTTACTGTGATTCAACTTGGTTTGCTTTGGGATGAAATTACATATCTGTCCAAGGTGTGTTCTGTTTTGGGGACTAGTCAAATAAGATAAAGTGTCAGAAAAATGTTAAACAACAAGGGCATCTGGGGCTGGTTAGCAAACGACCTAACAACGACCCATTTATTAGCTTACTGATTGTCACTGTTTTTTTCGCTTGGCGAAAAAAAGCATAACTGTAGTTAGTGAGTCCAAACAAACTTGACACTTGGGACTACGTAGAAAAGTGCCGTCAAACAACTGTTCGGTACATAAATAAATGTTGAAGACAATAGTAAGTAATTCATCAAAGAAATAACTCCGTAAACTTCCCTGTTTCCTTTCAAATTGTGAAAAGTTTATGGAAATACTATTTTCGTAAATTCCAACATTTTCAGGTATTTGTCATTATTATTATTATTTCCTTTGTAACTCTCCCACGTAGTGATTTCATGGTGAATGACTTCTTGTTGTTCTCATTTGAAGCGACATGAAAATCAATTAGTTCCCAAAAATTGAGTAATTCAAAAAATCAAATCTGAGAGTATGAACTTATTTTGAGATCAGACCATATATGTTCAACGCTTAAAGTATTCAAAGTCACTAGACTAGTAAATTCCACTCTCCTTTTTCGATTTTAAACGTAGAAATCGTTAATGACATAGTTGGGAATGTGGTAGGATCTTCACATAGCCAAGACAGCTCGATTGAATCAAATGCAAATCAAAACGGTTTAAATACAACTGTATTTTGAGTTTTCTCTTCATCATTTAAATTAGATTCTACTTTAGTAAACAATGAATTCTCTTATATGTATTTGGCACTTTTTATTATACTTTTTTCAAGTTAGATTTCGTACAATCATGCCTAAATTTAAAACGACTCATTCATCAAGTACGAATTTATGTACTCGGTTTCAAACTACACTGTTTTTGAAAGAAGTTGTTCAAAACCAAGTTAGATGAATAGGTGGGTTGACTGAATCTGTAATTCAATGGTTAAAAGCCATATGCTTTAAACTACTGACAAATACTATAATACAACATAAAAAGCTGTAAAAAATTCTTAAAATTGGCATCTTATCCATCTGTTAAATTAGTTACCAATTTCTTTCCAGTTCGAAATTCTTCAACTGGATACTTAATCTGACTACTCTTCACGGAAACTAAACCCGAATTTTTAAGTTCTTGCCGAAAAACAAGGAAAATTAATGATTTATTTAAATTTTATAGAAATATCAAGGAAGCGGTTATTCAATTAGACAAGTACTGTCTTATGTATTTTCAAAGCTAGTTTAGTTTTTAAGCAGATTATTGTATAGTATGGTTACTTATACTTTTGCTTCAGTTAATAAAATTTGTTATACTGTGAATTATTTTCGTTCGCCTATTTATTCTAGGTTTTATAACATCACGAAATAAGTCAGTTTATGCAAATATTTATGAATACGATAATTTTATTTATTCACCTAAACAATGCACAATATGCTGTCATATAATTCCAGCTAGATCTAAACATTGTTGTAAGTGTTGTTGCTTTCCTTCATTTATTCATTTCTTACTTGCTTATCTTTCATTCTCAAGTAATTTTGTCAGATTACCTGGTTATTTTAACCATCTGAACCCTGTTCACTCTGAGAGATGATCCTATGAATGTTTCTATTATTTGTTGTTAATTGGTTGTATGCAATCAATAAAAAGATTCTAGGGACCTTGTTTCCTTCTGATCAAGATTCACTACCAAGGCTTGTCTGCAATCTCCACGGAACAGTTAATGTCCTAAGCAAATAAGGTTCAATGCTTTTTACCGATTACTGAGTCACTTCTGAGCACATTAAACATGGTTATTGGAATTCGATCAATTATTGTAATGTTGGTTATCACATTAAGCGGTTGAATCGTGCATGTTTGCCACTTATCATTAAGTGTACATGTATAATTTTAATTTTGATATGTGCTTATTAACCTATGTATATTTATTATGTCACGGATGATTCTTGTTCACAGTTTTTAAGTCAGACATTATATCATGCAATGAAATCTATAAGGAACTAGACTTCTGCATACTCAAATATGAATGTTAACTTATAAAATCTTGTTCTCCAATGTAACGAAATTGACAGTCAAGTAGTATATGTGATGAGCATTATATACAATAGGATTGATTGTTTCAGTACTATTGTTTTAGTAGTAAGTGGGTAGTTTGCTTCGTCTTAACACACTGTTATTCAGTTTTGATCTATACATCTACCTTGTAAAGGTTTTTTTTGGACCTCCATCATTTCATTTGGTTTGATATGAATGAACTTATTTTGAGTAAATCTCTCATATTTTATCCAAATGAATTTGATGATTATGATCGTTTTCTGACTCAAAGGAGTTAACTTGTAAAATAAAGCACTCTGCTTAGATACTGGAGCCATTAAATAGCATGTTAAACAGTACTTTAGACACTTAGGGATTTCCAGATTGTAATTGTCAATGATATTTTGTCTTTCCTGAGATAAATTTCAAATTTATGTATTTGTTTTTGTCAAAACCCATCGTATTGTTTTATTTTTTCAGCTCGATGTGACCATTGCATATTTCGATTTGATCATCACTGTGTTTGGACAAATTGTTGTATTGGTGGTCAAAATCATGGACTTTTCATAACATTTTTATTATCTTTATGTCTAATGATTGTCAATGCCTTGTGGTTAAATTGTCGTATGCTTTATTTATTCTCTGTTGTAAGTTAATATTTTTATTATAATCTTCATAGATTATTCATATCATACTTGATTGACATATAGTATTAATCAGCCTTTCAAATGAATACACAAACTATAGTGATCAAGTTACTTCACAATCTATTAGTCTTATCCTTCTCAAAAGATACTTGTCGGACTTCAGTTTCTATTGTTCAAAACATTTCTGAAAGTCCTCAGTATTCAGAATCTTCAACTAATAAGTTATTCTAAGCAATTTTAGTAAACTCTCTTCGAGTGCAACATCGTAAATCGTATTTGCAGTTCTTGAATTGTTCATCAAGAAGCGAACACAGGTGCAATATCACCTAATCGTCATGAGTCTGTCTTGTTTAGAATGCTTTCCCAGTTTACGTGATGACAACGCTCTTTAGTTCGCTGAATTATGAAAAGGCTAGACAGTTTGATATATCTTGAACTGATTGTAAAAGTTCCTATCTTTAATACGATACTTGGGTACTACAATTCTTCCTAGCTACGTCTACTGCAAAAAACAAGTCTCCCAAGGCAGATTTATTTGGTTAAAATCAAAGAAAATTGTTTTATGCGAATAACACATATGTTTAAGTACGTACGTGTTGAACGAACATGGAGACGGCAACCAAGTAACAAAATAAATGAGTCAATGGCCATAAATATATTGACCTCCTGAAGCTCATTAAAAGTCGGGATAGGTATCGTGAAGTTCAGTTCAGAAAAAAACAAAAAATTCAAACTTGCAAAGTAGAAACAACGAAACGATTAGCTATTGCTTTACTGAAGGTAAAACATCGTTGACATTATTGCGTACTTATTCACGTACTGCTTATTACAGCTGAAATGATAATTTAGTACATATTTCAAGACGTAGTCCATTATGTTAACCCTTGAGTAGTTTTACTTTGTTTGGAACTGTCTAGTACCCTGTTGATTATCGTCTATTAAAAACCAATGTGAACCTTCTACTAAGAGTACAGTGATATCCAGTTTCTAATAAATGTTGCACACTGTTAACGGGATGTACGTTTGTGAATTAATACTCTCATATTTAAAAAGGGAAAAGTGTTTGGCATTCAGTTATAAGTTTAAAAGACTTGAAATATATTGATCAATGTTAAACTGAAATATTGTAAGAAATAGCCTATATTACCGCTCTAATAAAATTGGTAAACAAATACTGTTGGACAGTTGTTTCTGTCATTGGTAGGCTGCACCCATTTCCCTATCCATAGTCGAAACCTGGATTAATAGGTCTAGTGGACAGCATGCTAAATTTAGTGTCAAATAGTTCACAACTGAAGTCTATTTCCACTAATATTTGGCTATTATCAAATCCCATTTGAGATGTTTGACTCACTTTTAACATAAGTGAATCCTACCACTCATGGTTTATTACTGATATTTTGAGTTATAAAATAGGATGAAACGATTATACTCTGTACTTATTTATGTTTATTGTTTACTTAACTAGAGTCAGACTAAACATGAGCTATTTTCATCTTAAATAATTTCCACAAATCTCGTCTTTTTCATTTCATCTTCTTTGTGTCTATCATTGCATTATTCACTTATCTATTTCTGTTTTTCAGCATGAAAATTTATGGCAAGCTCATTATTTAGATGAATATGATCAAATTCACCCAATGGATTGGTTAACATTATTACAAGTATGATAATATTTGTAGCGGTAGTAGAATAGTAAAGCAGATATATATATATATATATATATATATATATATATATATATATGCTTACAGGAGTTATATCTCCCTTGGGACTTGAATCCTTGTCACAGTGTAACAGCTAAACATTTTGCCATTGATCTGTTTGGTTTCAGTTACATAATGATCCCCAGCTCTTTTGAGACTGAAAGTAAAACTTGGTCTAGGACGTTAATTGTGGTTTAGCTGATGGTTGAAGTTATTCCAAACGAAGAGAAAGTATGAAATTCTTAAATATTCTATAAAGAATATAAAGGGTGGATACGTCTTCGCTATTGCTATTAATTTTGAGCTGTTATTTCCAATAATAAATTACTGAGACTTCGCTAACCGAAATCAGGAATATCTTTTTTGAATCTACTACTATGCACACTGCTACTGAACTTTAAGAGTTAAAAGATGAAGAATTTATGAAGCATATGTCACAGATAACATTCAAAATCTTTTCAACTGATTTACCAGTTATAACTGGTTGTCTCTATTCAGCTTTGGCATAACTCGCTTGTGAGTAATGTTTCAATGACATTTGATTTATTAATAATGACTAACGCTCAGCTATATATGAAAAGCTTATACATAATTTGACATTTATCATCTAACTATCTGTAATGGTTATTATTTCATGTTAATTTATTGTTATTATCGACACTTATGTCCTTTCTCTCTGTCCCTCTCTTTCAGCATTTGTTCATGACATTTCCTCGTGTTATAGGGATGACTGGCATATTAATTGTAGCTGTAATGTTATTAATTAATTATCTAACATTTCATATCTGGCTTATTCTGATCAATTGTACATCATATGAGTATTTTCAAGGGAAGAAGTTGATCACTAGTGAAAATTGTTCAACTAACTACAATGATAATGATGATGATGACAAGGAGAAGAGTGAAAAGACGATAAACAAAAAGCCTCATTTTCCTTCTACTTCATTATTCGACAGCAAAATGGTGACGATGATGACAGCAAAGACAATGATGCCTTCTACCGTAAGACGACGATTAAAGTCTGATCATAGGTTAAGAGGACAAAATCCAACCAGTACTTATAATAATTATCGAAATTTCTACAATAAAGGTATTAGGAATAATTTATTGGAAATGTATACACAAACTACAACTTATTCATTAAGGGAGTTGAAACATCGTTTACCTGTACAGCTGGCATTTAAAACTCGTTAAACATCGTCCTTTCGACTGATAGATTTTTTTTACAAAAGCCGTTGGTTTTTAATTTATTTTTAGTGTAACTGTATTTTCTCAATTCTGTTTGATTGATGTCAATGCTATTCATATTGTCTAAGTAATTATAACAGTTTTTCTTATAAACATGGACTGATAAATAATTGATATCCTTATTGCTAGCTAGATTCATTGAATATTTAGCAACCGATGGGTATCACTTGTGTTCATGTCTTAATGTCAGTTGTTTCATGTAATTTGTTAATCATGTCTTATATATATATTCTGAAAATAATAATTACGTAATTCACGCCAGTTTACAGGCATGATCAGTTTGATATAAATAGTAACATTAAATGTAGAAAGCAATCATGTAATATAAGACTGTTTTAAGTTTACTAGTTCAAATATTGTTTAGGTAGTACATTTATGACATGTATTGCGGCAATGAAATGCACCAGCCAAGCTCTTTTAATTCTTCTTAAGTGGACATCCTGTTGATAAAATCAGTTCCAAGAATCCGTAGAGTAAATCGTTTTTTTACTGACTCCAACCTTAATTTATCCTTTGTGTGCACACTACTTAGAATAAACGTTCAGTACTCTAGGAGTGGTCGAACACAAATTTTGTACATCAAGATACGTGACTCGTTGTTATAAAGGTTTCGAGTTATGTAACCCATAATACGTTGAGACAAGGAGATCTGTTTCAATGCCTGTTTTGTAAATGACATATCGCAGGAGTACCTAAGTCCCAAGTCTACTACTGTTTGTAACTTAGATAACACCTCACAATTTATGGTAAGATCTAAGTAGAGTGATGTATTACCGAAGCATATCCATCCACATTTAGTTGCGTTTAGCTCCAGCTGCATTTTGAGCACCACTGCTTTACCTTGTTAAGCTCCATGCTGATGCAATTTTGCATATTGTTCAGCTCATGTAGAGAAAATGAATACACTACTTTAAGATCATCTGCTTACAGAAGGGGCTTACCTATACAAAACATTCACGAATATCATTGATAAAATCTAAAAAAAAGCAAACAGCCCAAGGCACTACCTTGCATTACAACACTTCTGACAGGGACAGCGTTCGCAAAGGAAGAGTTAATTTTAACTATTTGATATCGATAGCTGAGGAAGGAATCAAACCACCGAGCAGAGTGTTTTGGACCCCGTAACATGCTAGTTTCTCTATGAGACGGTTGCTAACCACGTCGAAGACTAGATATCCTTGGTTATTATTTATTTGAGCACATAAACATTGGTACAAAGGGGAACCGAATGCATATGCACCATGCAAGTCACTTGATTTGTGAGTGAGCTATGATACTGCCCGTGTGCCCAAACCGAAACAAGTGATTTTCTTAGGAGGCCACTCCCCGAGCCTTTGGCCTACAGATCTAATCCACAAGGCATTGGAGCAAGGTAAGGAGATGCAGTCCCATGGTAGCCAGTGACCAATGATTGGTTCATGCGCCATTTGTTTCTTCACGATAATGGAGCTGATGTGCACTATTTGCTTGGAATGAGGGTTTTCCAACTCCCGCAGGTGGACCCTCCATATCCATCCTTGGTTACGTTGAGGAAAGACTAAATTAAAGAAGTCATTGTGGAATGTCATACAAGATGAAGTTTTTAAAAGCCCTTGTTGAAAATCATTGATAAATTTTTCAGCGAGTAAATAGTTGAGGAGTCCATCACTTACCGTTTTCTCCATAATGCTAGAGATAACCGAATTAATATTTATGGGCCGATAATTGTTCATGTCAGTCTTATCTCCAGATTGGTAACGTGGTATAATATGCGCGGTTTTCCAACATTAAGGGTGAGTACCTGATTTCATAGATATAGTAAACAGCTTTAGAAGAAAAAGTGGAATATTTGGACCATCGTATTTGTAGAATAAGGATAAAATCCCGTCTACTCTATGACCTCTCAAAATCTTAAGGGAGTTTATAGCTTTACTCATTTCCAAGCATGTGAAGGAAATAGATTTTTTTGAGTTACTAGTCACGCACATGACTCTTAAGACAGTGCCATTTATGAATTCTTTACCATTCGCAAAAATACCACTGAAAATATCTACCATAGTTATAGAGTCGTATGTAAAAGTGTTATTATGCAGGATGCATGGTACATCAACATTTTGAGTTGCTTTAACGTGTTTATTGAAAAGGGTTATTAAGTTTTGTACTTTTGAGCTAGTATTAAGTGCTAATAGCTCTTCATTAATGGCTTTTAACTTGTGCTTCTCTTTAATTTGGTTAAAAATTATTGCTATTTGTGCAACTGCTCTGAAGTCATTTGACTTGATGTTTCTGTGGGTGTCTTAGTTTATTACGATATTTAGCTGGTATACATAATTCTTAATGTTTACTATCTTGTGCGTTTTAAGGGGTGCACAGAAATCTAGACAAGAGTTAACGATCACAAAGAATGTGTCGATGGCATCCACGAGACTATTGCATAAGAAAAAGTTATCCCATTCTGAGAATTTAATCAGTAAACTCAGGAGGTCCCAGTCAGCTGCGTATAGTCTCTATATTGACGGGTTTTTTTGTAGGGGTTGTTTATAAGAGAGGAGGAGGGAGGACACAAACTACCATTTTATGGTCACTGATTTCAAACTCATTGTATACTTGTACACACACTGGGATGATATGTCTACTAAATATTAGATCAAGTATGTTATCACCCCTTGTTGGGGTACGAACCCACTGTGACCAGTAGTGCATGTTAATGGTTGCTGAGAATTCATCATTACGTGGCTGACAACTACCAGTATTTCAGTTTATTCCAGGATAATTGAAATTTCTTGTAATAACCTTAGCATTGTAGTTTAGAGCAGATGCATGTATAAATGCATTGATAATAGGATCATTCATATTATTCGAATTATCGGGAGCTCTGTATATACTTCCTATTAAAAGACTATGATTCAGTGTTGCTTGATATCCAGACCGATTTAAATAAACTACTCAGGACACTGTCTTCAACTTTATTATTTGTTAGGGAGTCCAAGGTATGTGTAAGACAACTACCCCTACTCTTAGTATCTTTGTTACTGAGATAGAGTTGGTAGTTCTGGATATTTAATTCTGAATTAGATGAAGTGAAACGAATTCATGTTCATTTTAATCAAATCATTGTTCTTACTCTTTAGAATTTAATTAAGGTAACTCTGTGTATGAAATTATAGATTTTATTGAGTGCAGTTATGCGAGAGAAAATCCTGTTGGCTCATACACATATTGTTGACATAGTTTGTCGGTGTTAATAAATGTAAATAATTTAGTGGAATAATTCATGAATAATAATTGATATTTCTCATATATAAAGCAGATAACGAAAATACATCTGAAGCGCCGAACATAGCAGTTCACAATTCAATATTTTTGAAATTTAATAAATATGAATAATTTAGTAGTCGTTTAAGTTGATTTCAACTGATCATTTGCACACATACTACTGATACTATGGAAATTAAGTTTTCAGATAACTAGTGAAATAAATTGAAGAAAAAAAACATGTAAAACGTCTTATGGGCTTCATAGCATTAAGTACCATATAAAAAACTGTTATAATTCCATGAAGTACGATGTAAGATTGTTTAGCGCGTAAAATACACGATCGATAATTGTCAACTATCGAAAAAAAACGTTTATAACGTACAGTAAAACAAAACAGTGGAATATTTAGTGTTCTTACAGAAACGTCATAACTGACAAAGATTTCTTATCCACTTGATTTCCGGTCAAGGCTATTTTATTCATTCACTCAAATAGTTGCATATTAGTTTGTATATCGATATGTCATAAATATGGCGAGTTCATAAGGCACGCCACGAAATTAGGTATTTTTAATATAGTAGAATATATTGAAAGAGTACCGAAACAATGGAGAGCGTACATTATTATTCGACTTTTCAGATCAAGTTTCCCTTGCATTCTTATTTCTATTGCTTTCCACAATTGCTCTGGAGAACTGGACCGAATATTATAACTCCCTTTTTTCATTATTTTTGCTTGCCACATTTTGAGTTTTTTATTATTGATTAGAGTGATTTTTTAGTACAGTTTTCCTCCGGATGCTGTTGCTGAACCCATATGCTTAACCCTCCTTTACCCGGGTTTGAGATCGGTAGTAACCCTTGAAGAGCTATAGGTGGAGTTATGTTTTTCATTAGTAAAATATAATTGGATATTTTTCACTTCAGCAAAACGTAACAGCATATTCAGATTAAAGGAGCTTTTTGATGTGAAATCTACCATATAGTTTTTCATTGTAATGTTCAGCTAGGACAGTATCACAATTTGTGAACAAAATTAAAGATTTATGAGAATTTGTAGGTATCATTACCAAGTCTTGATTTGATAATTTTGAATAAACTGAGCATTGGATAGATTGTTATAAATAAATTAATATATTTGTAATATCCCAATGAGTAGAAAAATTAGATTTTCTGACGTTTCGTGACTCAGTGTAAGCCACTTCTTCAGAGAATAAATAACCAAATTAACATTAATCCAAGTCTAAATAGTACAGCGGAACAATCAAACAATATTAGGTGATCAATCAAATTGATTTCAAAAATATCAAAATACTACAAGGTTTTTCCAACCACAAAGAAAGAAGAGTAGCTGAAGCTTTCCATATAATGCTTAATCCCACTGCCCTCAATAGAAAAGAAGGCCTTACCATACATCCCACTTGGACTATCTATCCTAGTCAAGCAGTCTAATATTATTTACAATTTCACACCATTACATTACAAATTAAACTCTATCCTTTTTCATTATAAAGGTCACACATTTTGTCATTATTAACAGTGCATACATACACAGAAAATTACTTACAAGTCGCTTATGAATCACTTTGACCGAAATGAAATGACATGACATTGATCTATTCAGACCTGTTTTTGATTGATCACCTAGTATTGTTTGATTGTTCCGTTGTACTATTTAAACTTGGATTAATGTTAATTTAGTTATTTATTCTCTGAAGAAGTGGCTTACACTGAGTCACGAAACGTCAGAAAATCTAATTTTTCTACTCATCGGGACATTACAAATATATTATTTATTTATGAGAATATTCATTGCGATGTCAAGGAAGACTAAAACCACTCTTAACAGTTATGATGATATTCTCATAGTGGTTTGAACTCCACTTACCACTGCTTCTCACTAGAACTCCTGGGTGTACTTCTCGAAGTCAGTCTATAGTGAGCATATGATTATATTAATTATCAGAGGGGGTTTTGTGGTTAAGGGCTCTGGCTCGAGACTGGTAGGTTCTGAGTTCGAATCTCGGGAGTACGGGATCGTGAATGCGCACTGCTGAGGAGTCCCATAATGGGACGTAACGACCATCCAGTTCTTCCAGGTTTTCTATGGTGGTCTACCTTCAATTGACTCACAATTTCAACTATGAAACATACTAAATCTCCACAAAACCCCTTCTGATAATTATTATGATATTGTAAAAGGTTTGAAGTATATCACTGTAACAAACCTCATGGAATGGATAATCTATTCTTCATTTTTAACGATACAGATATCATGTTTTAAATCGTAATACAATGATGTCAGTTTTCATCATAAGATTTTATCAACCGTTACTACTGATATTATGTCACTAGTTATTAAAAATTTCTATAAAGATTCCAAATTATTAATCTTTGTAGGGTCAATTGATATTGAAAACAGAATTTACCACTTAAATCTGATCATCATGAAAATTATTATCAATGTCCTTGGTTCATTCAAAGTGATGCAAAATATTGAAAAATCGATAGATGTCGAGTATTTTGTGGAATATAAAGAGTATTTCATTAGGTGGCAATGAAACCATAGAAGTTATCTTCTGATTTTGAGCGGATTAATTCTTAATTTATTTCCTAAAGTTTTATTAAAAGTATTTTGTATGAGATTTGTATACACGCATAGAAAACATGTGTCCACCAATTACACTGATTGTTATTTACCTTTTTTTTTAGCTGATCGAATAGTTTAGAAATTTTGATAGTTTGTTACAAACAATCATACATCAATCTCTTGATACATACTACTTATATCTGTCCGTATAAGTAGCACGCAACACAGCACTATACTTATTACTCAGATTCAGGTAGCTTTTTCATTAAATGTCTGTAGTAAACGTATACTTATTATCCATGATCTATAAGAGGAATTCTAGTATCATAGATTAGAGCAAAGAAGATTTCATAAAATGACGGTATCATTTATAGTAAGGGTTACTGAATAACTTTAAAACTACAAAATACAAAAGGTAATTAAATAATCGGTTAAAGGTTTTGTTTTGTTAATGTGGTCATATTTGTATAACTGAACAAGAAGATCGGTCAATTATTCATAGGGAATATAGATCGTGAGTGAAATATACGTCTGACATAGTTGTCATACCGGATCAAGAACAATAATAAA